GCCTGATGCACTAAAGCAGGTCACAAAAGTAAGAAACAACTGAAAATGTATTACCGGAGTCACTGCCCAGAGCCATCAGAGGAGACAATACAATTAAGCTCACCACAATTAGCCAAACGCCAGTCTTTTGCAGGTAGGGATGGGGAACTCGCCCCAGAGCGCTTGTGAAGAGAGGAGAGGGCGTTCACCGCCAGACATGATCCACACCGCGCATGTGAAATGGAGCATCTCATCTAGCACTCACTCACGTGCACATGCAGGTATCAAAATGGCTTGGAGTAAGCTCGTTTGATGATACAGGTGCTAGGAGATGCTAACAAAGCGTTTTGGAAATAAGCCTGCGAGAGAAGGTACCGCTGACAAACATTTGCAGGCGTTTTAATTTTACATTTCTTTAGTTTTCATAAAATTGACTTTTTCCATGCGATGCAAGCTTAAATATTTGTTATTTGCACTGCAAATGTTAAAAAAAAAAATGCAGTAAGATTTATGGAAAGTCAGACAGTAAAGTGGGGAATGGAAGCAAGAAACCAGCTTAGGGAAAAAAAAAAATAAATCATTAAAGTTGTCAAAAAAGCATTAGTAGGAGAAACTCCCCAGCAAACTCCCTAACACGTAGGTGGAAAGACCCTGTCTCCAACACAGGCTGGTTATCCTTTCTCCACTTCTTTTCCTGTGTTCCCTAAATCCAAACATTTTCAGCCCTTGAATATAAAAAGAACGAGTCTCGAAATGCTAAGGACCACTCCAAAACTGTTTGAGATTTCCATCTATTTATCAGGAATGCTTGTGGGACAAAATAAGGTTTTCGGAGTTTTTTTAAAGTGTTTATTCCTCCTCAGACTGCATACCCGTTTATGAGCGCCTCCACAATGTTGCGGCCTGGGTTTGAGCTGGGTACCAGCTTTTTATTATTTGTGCTTTCTTAGGTAAAAATCAGGAAAGATTACTGCAGAATAGACCTGATTAAATTAGACCTGACCATCATGGAAAGAATGAGCTTTAATCTTACTTCCTTCACCTCTTACTTAATTCCTTCCCTATTCACAGTGGATTTCTCTCTTATTCATTTGAACCGGAATTGACTTCTTTGCTTTAAATTCAGAGGTGCCCAGATTTCTGTTTCCCCCTACAAAGCCCAGCGCAGTTCCTGTTTTTCCAGGCCATTTTACCAATGCCCATTCTTTGTTCCAGTTATTATCCAGCCTGACCTTCTATGGACTAACCGGCCGAGTGTTGAAAAGCATCCTCTTTATATATATATTAATCTGTTTTCCAACATTCTAGTAGCTTTACCTAAAGACCAGGTCATGCTTTTTATAGGCTCCCATGGTTGCGGTTGTTGTTTGTCCCCTGAAAACAAGGTACGATGCTTGTGCTGGTGGCTTCCCCAGCAGATACCCAACACCACTCACTTCGGGTTGCAAGAAACCACGTTCATCATTAGAAAGGGAAAGGAAAGTACCGAATCAGGCTATTGGGGCTTCCTCTGCTCCAATGCGCCCAGATTTTACAGCAGGGGTACCTTCATGGATTTGCGGACGGTCGCTCCAGATTTAAAATGGTATAAAAGGGCAGGTCTTGCCCTAATGTTTGCAAAGATACAAGACCCACTGGAAATGTTACATCTGAGCTAGGCTGTGAAAACTCAGGGCATTTGGGCCAGTTCTGTTTTAAGCATCTCCTAGAAGTAGGTTAAAAAAAGTCCCCCACTTATGAGTTAGCTTGCAGCCTAATTTTGATCTCTTGGAAGAAAAATAGTCTTAATTATCTTGATCTGAAAAACAGCGGTTCCCAAACATGATGGTTGGGATGACCCGTTACATTCCAATGCCTGGGACCACACTAAATTTAATAGCAGATTAAACTGAATTTGTTAGATTTATCACCTTGCTTACACCAGCTGAAACCTCAAACCTGGTCGTCTCAGGGAACGGTCCCCACTCTCCCACAACTTCACAATCATACTATGTACTTGTATTTAAAAAAATTACCTAGTAAGACCATTCTCTGAGCACATGGAACCAGTGGAAACAACTTACAGTTTTAGGTCAATACAGAAAGATGTCGACTTCCTCACTTACACTTCCCTGAACAACCCTTGCCTTGAGCCAAACCCAAGGTAAATAAACGTTTAAACTAAGCCCATTGGACTAGGTAGGAACAAGCACCTTCGCTGATAAACACCACTAATTAGAATGAAGAGATACTAAGACAAATCTCAGCTTTACATGAGACATCTGGGGCCCCAGATGTGTCTTTCAGGTCTGAAAGTAAATAAACACAGGCACTGAAACCAATGGATATCCACGGGAAAAGTTCATTTTTTAGGATAAGGCCACTGGAATGTAAACAGCAGGGCTGGAATTTAAGAGACAGCTCCAGAAGTATGTATCCTCCATCGTTTGATACAATATCAGATATATACTGACCGCATGAGGAAAAGCAGGTTTGCTTACAGGCATTGAAAATGAAGATTCGTAAGGAAAACCCTGGATCTCACTGCAAATTCAAGCACTTAACATTCAGTGAGGAGAGGAGAAAAGCAAACAAAAAACAGACACTGTGTTGTACTTTTTTGTTTTTATAGAATTTTTACAATATATTTCTCTTCATTTGCATATTTTACCCACATCTGTAGCTTTCTTTTTACATGTTGAACTGAAGTGGAATAAATCTAAAGGTCTGATATATTTTAAACAACTGATAAAAATTGCAAAGTAGTAAACCCGTAAGAAAAGAAATTATAAAACTCTTTTTTAAGTGTTTAATGAAAGCAAGTCAAATGTATCATTAGGAACAATATGGTTTGTTTTAAACACATCATAGGTGATTCAGGCAGGACAACTTTTTTTGTTTTTTGTTTTTTGTTTTTTTTTTTATATTAGGCACATTTTTTTCAGCATACCTGTTTTCCAGACAGTTTTATACTATTCAATAGTATCATCCGCATCCACTTGGAACTGCTGCAGGATTTTCAAAATGTGATTGATCATGAATATTCATTATTGGTATTCTTTTCCTCTTTCTTTAAAACTATCAGAAGAAAAAAAAAAAAAATCAGTGTTTCTTGTCTCTTAAAAAATCCATAACGAATGATTGAGTTGTAAGGCAGCAACAGATTCAGTGTCAACTCAGGTCACAGTCCTTCAGTTCCATCTAGTGGGTAGAAATTATATTTAGTGGACACTGTTCCTAGACAGTCCCTTCAGGGCGCGATGACTGACTCACAAGGCCAGTTACTGCTGGTAGAGTAAGTTAAGTGGTACACCTAGTAAGGAACACTGGCCACTCCTGTGTCATCCTTGCAGCCTCATGTCTTCATACAGAAAGCAGAAAGACAGTCCAACGGAAAAAAATGTGAGTATGATAGAGCCATGACAGGTTCTGTGAATGGTTTATTTACAGTCTTCATCCCTGATGTTAAAAAAAGAAAAAAGCCTTCTTTGACTAAAACAGGCAGATCCCGGCAGCATGCTACATGCCTTAGCAAATCAGCCCATTGCATATCCTTGACTGCTTAGCCATGGATTCACACTGAGGCAGTGAATAGAAAGTCCTACACTCAAGAAGAGCAATTTCAAAATGCTCACCTATCCCATCAATACGACTCCCTAAAGTAGACTTAAGAATGTCTCATTTTGGTAGAGCAACTCCCTGCTCCTAGAATCTGTTCATGCTATTAGAAAGTGTGAAACAGTTGGTTCCTCAGGGATCTCTCAGATACCCCTGCAGTGAGATTGCAAACTCAAATATGTTACTCGGATATGGGAACAAAACGATCCATGCGTTAAAGATATGCCACAACTTTGTTAACTCCCTTCCCATCGTGATCTCATTCAGGAAGGAAGGGAGGGCTTTAACCTTCAACCACAGTATACTCGAGGAGGGGGTTTCAGAGCAGTATCACTCCGCCTCCTTTCAGTCTTTGATAAATAGTACGTTTTTCCTGAATTCTGGCATTCTCATTTGCTAAGAGGGCCACTCCATCCCTGAAGGCAATGGCTTCAGCATAGGGCTTCTTGGTCTTCAGTTTTAAGTCTTTCAGGCAGAATAATCACATTCTGATTCAACCTCATCCCCTGAGGAAGCATTCACTTTGCACTCACCTGGCTGAACAGAACATCTTTAACTACCGCACTAGAGGCCATCCAAAAAAAGGGGATGTATTACTGCACGTTTCCCTCTCAGAGGGAGATTGGACCACCCTTAGAAATTCCAGCCTCAGCTGGTAAGACCATCAATTCAGAGGTCATCCCCCAAAGCGGTGCTCCTGTGCACGTTGCACATTGCTATTTAGGCACCACTCACCTGTTGGACAAGCAAGGTCCATAAGCATATTCCCTTCTGACAGAGCCACTGACTTTACACAACTTGCATTCAGTTACTACTGAAGCTTTTGGTTGCTTTTTTTTTCATATCCTAATGTTGAGGTGACAAAGTGAAGAAGAAAATAGTTAGCACAAAAAGTTCTCTGAATTCATACTTGACAAGACCAGTTCTACATACTGTATAACTGTATACAAAATATACCCCCAAATCCTTCTATGTTCTTTTTAACTCTTTGGAAAGGGAATAACCAGTGTAGTTGAGTAGGAAGAAAGCCAATTTATTTCAGCATAGAAGGTCTGTAATTCATTCCACGGTCACTAAGAGTAATGCAGTTATTGCTCTATAAGGTAAGACTGGATTGATCATTAACCCCCACCCTGAGTGCTGGGAGTCCGGGTTCCCAACATTGCCAAGAAGGACCTCCTAAGCCACTAGTATCGAAATAATTAAAAGAAAAAAGCCTTATGAATAATTTCCTGTAAAGATGTGATCTTCGAGAAACATGTACGTTCCTCAGTTCTTCATATTACCGCTGCTTTGTGAATGGAGGCCAGCCTTTGCTCTCTGCACTAGAATAACGTACTATTTAGAATAACACATTGGAAATAAATTAAGGTAAGAATAGATGATCCAGCTGATCGAATCAAAGAACAGGAGAAACATTAACCTCTTGCACGAGTATGCTCTGAAACTGGAATCCTTTAACTGCTATGTGAATCACCCAGAATTTGTTTTACAACCTGTAGTTTAGTAAGAATTAAAGTTCTTTTCCTTGGGTAGTAGCCTTCAAAGCAAAAGCAAACATGGCAGGATTCAAGAGTGGACCATTTCTGCATCAGCCCACCAGATTCTGGTTTGCCTATTTCACTTCAATGATATATAATAGATGCTGCTGACGGCATCACTCTGAGTTCAGCAGTCACGTTCCATCAATCAAGTTTCCTTGGGAGCAGACGATACCAACGCAGGGGCCTTCCATTCTCATAGTTCAGCTACCTTCTTTCGATTACTTCCTCTGAATAAAAAAAAATATTGTTCTGTTTACTCTAACATGCTACAATATGTGCATACATAACTGTAGGCGACGCGTGAGTTACTTCAAGATGTGCTTTTTCATTGAAGTGCGCTTTTACTTTTACAAATTCTACATCAAGGTGGAAGGAAGGAAGGCTGCAGAGTGCTCGTACACTGAAGCTGAAGGAACTTTTCCTGAACGGAATTAAGATGTTTGTTCCAATGTCCTATGGACAAACTACTCTATCCCATGCACTCCGGCCTGAGCCAGTATTAAACATTCCAGAAACTTGTTGATTTGTTCGGATAGTTAATGGCAAGGCTGATAGCAGCAATGTTTTTCAGGGCCTAGAAGAGAGAAGGAAAAACAAAGTAACATCAAAGATTCTCCTCAATCCAAAACTGTAAAGAAATCCTTGTATGAAATTAAACAGAAATAGATAAATAACCATCCTGTTTCTACCTGGTCATCTCCTGGTAGTGCAGTAATTGTCATGCATCCAGGCAGTTTCAGCAAGGCAAGTGCACTTCCAGCTGCTGAAAGACCAGACCCCCTCCCCATTTCCATGTTTTGGCAGTTGGGAGGTCAGTTTGGTAAAACAGATATACCCGATTACACCCAACAGCCAGTTTGTGGCACATCATCTGACTATTAAAGAAGAACAGCATTTGTGCATAGTTCATTCACAAATTTCAGAGGCCTGTTACGGTATTGTAAAGCCCAAGTACATTCATATCTATTTTATAAAACTCCACTGGGCAATCAGAAATCATCCATTATCTCTGTCTGCCAGAAAAATAGCACAAAACCACACATCTCTGAGGTTGTGCAATCTTATTACCTGTGCTGTACAGCGATGAAGATGATCTTCAGTATTTAAGGCAAGCAAATACTCCTGTAGAGATCCAAGCTCCTACAGCCAGAAAGCATTCAATGAACACCAACGTTTCTACCAAAGACATCATCCTACTAATTAACATTAAAATGCTGATCATTATAGCAGTCCCCAAAAACCAAAGGTATCAGAACTACAGACAAGACTCTCCTGGACTAGAACATAGTTTGTGACCACAGAAATCAGTTCATTACAGACTGTTCATATATAACGTTCAAAATCAACTCAAAGAAAACCACACTCAAATACCTTTAAATTAATTATTAAATCAGCATTCCTCAGAATATAGAGTGGCTTTAGGGCCTACTGCCTTAATCGCACGAGGAAGAGTCATGACTATTACTTAAGGTCCCACGATGGATAAAGCAACAGTATGCCCCTGTATTAGAATTTGCTACCAGACTCCCCAAGAGAAAGTTGTTAATGTTTTTCTGAAGCATTTAATGCTTCTAGAGCTCTGACGAACTTTGCCAAGATAAAGGAAAACTGCATTTAGTTTAACACGGAACAACCTATCATTCCCAGCACTGGGGAGAGGAGGGACACAAATACAGGAACTGCTTACAGTAACTCTGTTTTCTGTAACAAAGAAGAGTTCTGCAAGTGCACGATGAAGAGGAAGGAGAATGCCAGGCTTGGTCATGTCATGACACAAGTTGTTTTCCATATGGGTGAAAAGCTGCCAAAGTGGCTTCAACAAGGTGAGGTCACAGTCCCTGAAAAAAAGTAATTTAAATTAAATAGCAATGAAGTAGTGAGTAACCATGATCTTATACCTGTTTCTGGGAGGGGAAAAAAAGAAAACAAACCCCAAACAAATTTAAGAGAACAAAACCATATAGTTTTGACAGTTAGATGTATAAATGAAGGAAGAAACACACGAAGTATTTTAAAATCTAAATTCAGTCAGGTGTTTCAGCACAATGAATTTCATTCTGAATCAGTGAAGTGGAGAAAACCTCATATCCATAAATATATCTAAATGACTTTTCTAAAACTGAGTGGCCTCCTGAAATGAGGACTTTAAAATAACTATATACATCACTTTGCTAAATGCTCTAGCTCCACTGCTTGAAATTATATAATACTGAACTACAGCACTGAGCAGGTGATGCCCTTGTATAGGGCAGACAGACAAAAATTGATATATAGCTTTACAAACAGTTCCAACCCTGCCTCCTTCCTACTCCTGAGTTAAAGCTAGCTAACCCAAACGTCACTTATCATACAGATAGGATGACAAATATCATTCAGTAGGGGGGGAGAAGATGGGAAACTCAATTTTGGAATCTATCATCAGATTAACACAAGAAAAATATTAAATATTATAAGCACAACAGAGACTTGATTTTTTAGCAATTAAATTTGTTGTCTACATGACAAAGCAGACATTTTCTGATGAAAAAAACTAAAGGAACTTGAAAAAATAATAAATCCGTGATTACAACTAATACCAAAATCAGTTTTTCAGACTTGAATACAGATTGGTGTATCTAAAATTTACAGAGTCAAGCAATGGTTTTACGTAATTGTCCATTTTTATTACTATATGTGAATATACTTTTTGACTTCTCTTTACCAAAGTAAGCTAGTAGGATGCTGTTTTCATCATTTTGCTTGTTCTGAACTGAAAGGACATAACCTAGATAAGTGTCAGTGTTCCAGCATTGTTGTCTTTGTTTCCAGCATCTCTACTGAGTTAATGCGACTATAGACATTTGCAAAACACTATGAAAGCTCAACATTTTTTTGGATGTGTATTTTCATAAGAAATACCCGTGCCACACATACTTAAACATTAGCACACCTATCTCTTCTAAAACTCGATTACAGGCTTAGTGGTACAACTAAAAATAATAATTTAAAAGTTATTTACTTTATAGAGAATCACCGGTTTATTATTCCATCCTCACCTTAATTCTGAAGTACGACTAATACAAAGAGAATAAATTTCTAGAAAATTAATTTAAATCTTTTTTTTGTCCTGTTTCAGGGTGATTTTTTTTTTTCTTTACAATAACATTTGAATTCATTGGACCTTTTTTAAAAGCCAAGAAAGAAGAGAAAAAGTTTTCAAAAAACCCCCCTTATAGTAAGTTTCTGCTATCAAGGCACTGTGAATTGTATCCGAAATGCAAATTAAGAATACCTACTTCAAATCATGGTTTTCTGGCTTCAAAATAATTTCAGCTTAGTCACTTTTTCTTCTCCTGCCCTTTGCCTTTTAATGTACAACGTAGAACAGTGCACTTACCTCTGGGTGCTGCACTGCACTATCTTTAAGAGCAAGTGGATAGCCTTCAAACGCTGGTGACCAGTCTGACGGCACGCTACCCCGACCTGCCATTCCCAGATTTTGGCCAGTGGGAGGTGAGGAATTACCCTTTCCTCAGACAGCATCTGCTTTAGAATTTCAAACCCTGGGGGAAATCAAACAGCCGTTACTTTTGTAAGGATCCATTCCGTTCATATATTCAGTTTTCTTTTCTCCATATACTAAGTATTGCTCTGGCAAGCAAGAAATACCAAAGAAAAATACCAGACAAAAATCAGAGATAATTCTAGATTACATCCTGACATCACAAGTCTTTTCCGGAGCAAAACTTAGATAAAAATTAGAAAGAATCCTATCTGAAATTAAAATTTTGCCCAAATAGGGCAAACAAAACACAGGTCCTCACTATTATGTGATACGCAGTAGAGTTTTGCTGATTGCAAATCATCCACCACCCTCAATTTCATTAGAAATATTTAAACTCTAAAATAAACTAACAAAACCTTTCATGCTATATCTAGAAACTAGATCCAGAACCAGCCTATTTTAACGGATAACTACTTTTTAAAAACACAATTACAATTATTTCTGTTTCCAATTATGGCACCTTGGAGTGTTTACTAAATCCTGTGTGTAATTACTGTCATATAATGAGACTTTGAATGCAAATACCATTATTATAATTGTTATCTCCAAGTCCCTGTGAAGATTTGGTATTTCTAGCATAAAGTCACAGCAAGTAAGAGACATTAGTCAAGTTTTAACTTGAGCAAAACTAATCACGTTATTTCCAAAACATTGGAGAAAGCAAATTCTAAGTCAAAAAAAGGGATAATCACAAGTCTGTCAAAGCTCAGCAAAATAACTCCAAAAAGTCCTTTCCGATACATTCTGAGCAGTGCTTACCTGTCTGAAACCTTCCAAGATGACCTGCTGTCACTGTAAACTTATAACCCCACTCAGTGTTACTCATGTCAGAAGTAAATCGGTAATAGAGCGTGTCTCCTGTGTACAAGGGAAGGAAGAAAATCAACATTACTACCTTCTGAATTAGTTTTGCTATCACAAATACAATTCAAATGAAAAGCCTGTCATAAATTAGTCCTAGATATCGTCATTCAAGAGAGGTGATCTTTTACTGTTTGGTAATTACGAAATGCACAGAATAGTATGATAAACAGGAGGCTGAAGCAAAACGCAGAGTGGTTTCCACTGTATAAAGATACTTACAATGACAATGTCTCTTACATTTTTGTCAACTACATAGAAGAAGAGGGAGTTAAAGAAACTCTGTACTGTACACAGTTAAACTTCACTTCTCCGATGGTGTTATGGATCAGTTATGATTTATGAAAAAAGAACCTCTACATAGGCAGCCAAGTTCACAGTCCATTAAACAAAAGGTTGAAAAACCGCGAAAGTAAAGTTGCACTGCTTTTACATGTCAGAAACTTTTACTCTAGGGAACAAAATTGTTAAACTTAACCACTTAAGAGTGGAAGAACTATCACAACGTTTGACCATTTTACAATCAGGCAGTGCAACATTCAAGAAGTTCTTGTCATTGTAGTATCTACAGCTTCACAGAGATTAACACTGGTAATTAGCTGTAATGCTAAACAAAACATATCCTTACCTATTGTGCTCTGTAATATTAGATCTGGTTAAAACTTAGAATTTCCTTCTGTTCCATGAAAAATCCTATCACCCTGGGACAAGCACGCTAGTTTTCATTGGGAAGCAGAATTTTCACAGTTTCATGAAGAAGAAAAACTTTGAAAATATTTTTTAGGATTTTTAAAAAAAAAAAAAAAAAAAAAAAAATCTAAAACCCCATTCCCTTTCTCATCATGAAATGCAGCCATTGCTCTCTCCTACTCCCAGGAGTCTTGAGAAAGCCCTGCCATCAAATGAAAAACCCAGAAGCCTTCAAATGCCTGGTTTCAACTAAAGCCTGCTGAGTGAAATCAAGAGCCTTAATCCAGACAGTCTTGGCTGGAAATGAAGTTTCACAAGGTGAAACTCAAGTTTCACAGCCAAGACTGCTCCAAAACAATAGGTCTCAAAGTTCAGTTTCTTGGCAAACCTCTGCAACTATTTGGGAGGAAAAGGCAGACAGAAAGAAGTTCATAAAATCCAAAATATTTCTCAGAGCACACATTTGTTTCTAACCAGCACCTTGTAACCCAAACTGCTTTGCTAAGAGAGTTCCTAAATCTATTTACAGCTACTGACAGTACTCAAAGTCAAAAGCTTCCTCCAATGCCACAGCGCTCAGTGGGTTAAAACAACTTAACATAAGAAGCATGGGACCTCATGCTCACTGGCATTTGCTACTGTGTTATCAAAAACCTGCTTAGAGAATACAGACTGAAGTTGTCAATCAAATGACTGATTTTTTTTTTCAGCTATGCTCTAAGGCAACTGGAGACAAGGCATTGGCACGGACTCTTTATTTGCTCTGAGCGCTAGTATAGCACAGGGACAAGAGATAAGCCTATCTTTTTTTTTCTTTTTTAAATGTGCTTCCTGTGGAAAGTAAGACAAGGCAGAAACAATGTAAGCGAGTATCGTGCAGAGCAAGGACTGTGTTGGAACAGAATCAAGATCAAAATTTGCTTCCAGTAGCTAAGCGCATGCTTTGACTGAGGCGTGGAAAAAAAAGGTCAAGTAGCAGAACAACAGATAAGCCTACTTCTAAGACACAAATGCAAGAGCAGCACATCAGAGCAAACAGGTTGGGACAAGAAAAGGATTTTTTTTCTTCCCCACACATCTCAGGAACATCTGCATTTAACTGTCGTCTTTCAGTAGTTTCTCTCGAGAGGCCTGGATACTAGCAATATCCTATACATTTGCACTTTGAAACACTGCATATTCACCTGGAAGCTCAAAATCATTCCATTTCTGCGGAGACCCACTGAAGCTGTGCCGATCCTGCTGGAAATCACTGCTGCTGGACATGAGCAACTCATCACAGCCTTCTTCTGTGTTACACTGAGAGTCAAATTTGATTGAGAGGTAGATAGCACCGGGAATGTGAACTTTATCCTGAGAAATAAGCACATGATCTTTGCATACTGTAATACTACATTACCAAGAAGCTACTTAACTTTCACCATACAAACAAGGGAGAAATATTACAGCATCTCCGTGTGAAAAACTCTTCGATATTTTTATCCAGAGCTAATTTAACAAATGTAAAGCATGGCCTATTGTTTGCATTAGCTGTTAAGCATGTAAAATTAATTGCTAGCAATGCTTTGGTTTTTCAAAAGCGGTAATTGTTGCTGATATTGATCTCATGGCCAGAACCTAAAGGTTTATATGCATTTTAAAAATAAAAATCAGAAGAGTCAGAGCTGCAGGGAAATTAAAAATCCCAAGACTGCCCAGAGGCAATAATTACTTACCGAACTATATTAGAAAAATGCTTTCAAAACAATATCAAGAAAAGAAAATCAGAAACTGTTTGTGTCAGGAGAAGATAGTCTAAAATGAGAAATACAAGAAAAAAAGACTGCACTCCTAGCTTTCGTCCAACAGCACAAGGAAGTAACAGGCCAAGTGAAACAAACCTTTGGATGAAAGAGTAGAAATATTTGCTCATTAAGGCCCTGAAACCATTTAAGAATATGATCTGCTTCAAACACATGCATAGTAAAACCATTGAAGTTACGCACTTTTCACATGATTGAAGTAGGACTACATTGAAGTGCCTTATTGAACATATTTCTTTACAGGGCAAGGCCTCAGTCACCTGGCATCAGGCTTTTCAAAAGCAAGACTGAACAGGTATTTCACAGGCGTTTCAAGCACAGAAGTCCCATGGGATACACACGGAAAATCATGAGACTTCTGCTCCAACCACCTTGATGTTTTTCAACTAGTCATGCAAATCCACTGCACTGTAATACATGTATCACTTACCTCAAAATTAGTATTGTTGTTATAAGGATGTTTAGATTCACGCATCTGGACTGCCATTCCGGGTTCCTCCATGAACTGGCAAGCTGTCAATGCCATTGTTCCTAGCATGCTCTCATTGCATCCATGCAGTACTTTCTGTAGAATCTGGGGAGAAGCAACACGTCATGTAAACACAATTTGCTATCAAAACAACATTTACAAACTTACATGCTGATGACTGACACGAGTCATTTCTAGCCACACAACATTTTGGAAGAGAGAATCGAGCTACTAGCCAGAAACAGGACACAAATGATGTCTACAAGTGTCATCTCCGTAAGTGCAGAAGATTTTACTCTGCCCTCTGTTCCAGATCTTTCAGTCTTTATCTGATGAAAACGTGAGAGCTATTAGCTATATCTCTTTCCACAAATGCTAGAAGCATAAAGTAATTAACAGTAAACTAAAGCTGTAAACAAGGAAGATAAACAACTTTCTTAACACACTAAACAGACACCCTTACCTTCTATACCTACAGGTTCTGGTTTTAATAAAATATGTCATATGTTTTAGCCTTCAAAATGTACAACTCCATATATAAGAAGCTCAAAAGAGCACAAAAGCTCTGAATAAGGAGTCCTGCTACTTGAGGGCCTTTCCAGGTCATTATAGCAACCTATTACATCTCTTCACCTGCAATTTTCCAACTCCTCCTATAAAGCGTAATACTAGCTCAGACCAAAAGGTTCATCTCCAAATCAGCCAAAAATTGATTTTTTGGGGAAAAGGAGTTTAAAAAACAAAGGCAGTATGTAGCAGAGTTCCCTGAATGCATTCTTTGCCTCCATACACTTGCAGAATAGCCTAGGACAAAGGCTACGCTTTTGTATTTAATATGCCTTAATAGATTTTTATTCTATCAGTTCACCCTGTCATTTTCTGAACCTATATAAACACCCTGTGGCAACAATTTCAATGACATACTGTGTCAAGAACCAGTTCTTTTGGTTTGCTTTGGACCTGCCACTTATTAACTTAATCTGACACGCCTTTGTTTTCTTACTGGGAGGGCCAGTGAATAATACTTGCTGTTAACTTCTGTACGCTGCTAACTGTTTTAAAACTACGGAGAAAGAAGAACAGACTTTTTCATTACTCCTCCTCCCTCAATGCCCCCACAGGGCAAAGATCCAGGATGAAGAAAACTAGTTGGTTCCTCATACTGAAGTTATTCCATGGCTATAATAATCTTCTCCAGACCTCTTCCAGTTGTACTGCATCTTCTTTTTTTTTTTTTTTTTCCAAATGAGATGAGCGAGTCAGGTCACATGCTGTAGTCCAGATGAGAGCATACTATTGGTTCAGTGGCATACCAATGCCTTCTGTCTTATTTTTAATTCCTTCTTTGAAGATTCGCAGCCCTTGAATTGTTTCGACTGCTGTGAAGCATTGAGCTGACATTTTCATACAACATTCTATTGTAATTCCAAGATCACTTCCACACAGTAACAATCAGATCATCAGTGGAGTAGCAGGTATTACAATATACACATTGAGATCTAACAAAAAGCAGCTTTCAAAATGGACTGCCTATTTTACCCATTTCTCTATAAGATTTATTTTCCCATATTGCTCTTTCATAACTGAAAGAGTTGTCTCCATGGAGCTAGCTTTTCCATTTTCTCTTAACAAAATCAGTACATTAAGACACTGACAGATTCCAACTGCTTTTTCAGAACTAATTTAAATTTTGGAGTTTCAATTTAGTTTAAAAAAGGAACTGCAAGTATTTTTGTTACTCAGAGTCTTGTGGCATGTAGGCACAGGGCTTGTTCACATGCATAAGTGAAATCCACTTACTTTTTCCCATAACTGCTTTTCCTCTAGCTGCATAAGCATGTCCAGTATGTATGTCATATGGGCTGGGCCACTAAGATCTAGGATTTCCTCATTTATTGCCACATCATCTGGCCATTCAGCTAACAATGATGCCAGCACATGCCTGGCATAAAGAACAGCAGTTGCCTCATTTACGCGATACAGGTAGTCCCTCACAGCCTTTTTACTTCTAGAGTCCAGCTCCTTGTGCAGGAGTATTGAACTCTTAGTGCGACGTTGCTTGGCATAACTAAGCTGTAGATCACTCTCTGTGTTGGTTATCAGTTTCTGGGCGACCGGATTGGTTTCTTCTGTTGCTTTATCACAGAGCGCAGGCTTTGACTGCAAAAAAGAAATGCAAGTTTGAAAATAGGCTCTCAACAATTTACTTCCTTATGTTTCAATATCTGACCTGTCCATCAGACTGCAAGTTAAATTTACAAACGAATTTGTCTTTTACATACTGAAAATCAGATGCATCAAATAACACAAAAGTATGATCTCTCACGTACCTACAGGGACAGAATTCCTCAAAAAGACTGTTTATGCCAACAGACTTCACTATACACTGATGCATTCATGACCGTACACACAAGCAGAAACAGCAGTTACAATTCTAACCAGAAGCATTAATTTAAGCTGACTTACAGAGGTAAAGCAACAAAGTGCCATGCTATTTGTGACACAGAACGAGGCAAGTTGGGAGGGACCTTTGGAGATCATTTGGCCCAAATCCGACTTAAAGCTGAGCCAACTTCAAAATCAAGGCTTTGTTCAGTTAAGTTTGGAGAATTTCCAGGGGTGGATATTTCACAGCCTCTGTATAAGCTGTTGTAAGGCCTATTTTTTTTTTCTTAAAACTATGTGAAACTACTTCAGGAAGCCCTTGATCCAGTTTGCTATGCAACTGATAGACAGTGTGATACCACACAGCCAGGAATCAGAAGGAATCAGCACCCAAAATAAATCAAAGAGCTGTGGGACCACGCTATTGAATTCAAAACCTCAAGCTTGCAAGTGTAGTGTCTACTTTACAAGATAAATTCATTGCTTCCTTGTTCTGCTGAAATTACTGTAAGATAACAATAATATGCTAAACCAGTAACACTTAGGCATAAGCTTACAGTAATTAGATACAATCTCTCTTGTATAAGGAGAGGAAATTACAGCGTGCAATCACAATTTGTTCTCCTGACCTGAGAATCAAGTTCTCTTACTTCCTTAAGGAAGAAATTACAAGGAAGAAACACTTGCTTCTTGTTGTACCTGCTCATTCATTTTGACGTAAAGCATTAACAACAGATTATTTCAGACGTTAAAAAAAAAATAAAATTCAGGTTTGAACTTACTAAGCAAAACTGAAGTTATTCAATGCCTAAATTAATTATTTCACAACTACTTCTTTTTGTGGAGATGTACGTACCAAACAGGGCAAGATGATCATATCTGTATCTACTGCTTTTGAACTCTGCTCCTCCAGCCTCAAACGCTTGCTGGGTTGCCATTTCTGAGCCAGTGTTCGGATCCTCTCATCTGTTGTAATTACATCTCCATCAAACCTTAAAAGAGGCAAAAGACAGAAAATACACAAATGTGTTTTGAAAGTAATACAAACTAAATTAGTGCAATTGAATGCAAATTAATCTTCCCACCTTCTGTTTCAGAAAGATTCATTAAACTCTGCCTATTTTTAATCATATTATGCTAACTAGCTTCCCTGTTCTAACAAGTCAAAGGTTTTACATATTATAAAATTGCTCATCTCTATGAGAACATGGTGGCTCCACAACATGCTTTGATTACTAGAAGCCACATGTAAACTCTCCATTCTTCCTCAGTTAGGATAATTTAGAGATATAGTAGATTTTCATATGGGAGTTATCACATTGAAAAGAACATGCAACGCATTTCCGAAGATGGTGACTCGTTTACCTAAATACCACTTAGTAGGAGTTTATTTCCTCACCTTTTCACACATGAAAACCAAATCATGTATCCTTGGAACAATTTCTATTCGGCACCTATTAGATTTTAAGTTACCACCCACATCTAGTAACTTTGTTTTTCTGCTGGACCCAGTCTTTCACATACCTCTTTTGAACTTCCAGGAAAAAAGAATCTGTTCTTTTCATTTGCAACTCGTACATGGCTCGAAGAATATGGAGAGGTGCATTAAGTGCATCATGTGTCATCTGAGCAAGGAGGGGGGGGGGGGGGGGAAAGACATTACATGGGAAAAAGAAAGATGAGTTTCTTTAAGGATGACCTAGGTATTATTTTCCCATGTATCATATAGGTAGAGAATTAATAAACTTAATATCTAGATTAGTAAAAATGAAAAGTAATTTAGCAAAAAGCTTTATAATTATTTTGTAGTGTTCATTACTATAGTTCTACTTTATTTCCTTTAGATAATGATATATCGAAATCATAAACCCATATTCTGTAAATTTAGAAGAAAAACAGCCATATAAATTACTAAATATTTTATGCAACTAGCAAATTCACAGTAACTTCAAAGGAGGTAAAATTCAGTTTAAGTACCAAGAAGCATATTTTGGTGGCTTCATCCAAACCCTCCAAAGGATCAAGTTTGTTCTGCTCTAAATCAACAGGACCAACAATGGGTTGCTCCACATCTTGATCTTGTTCCCTTTCTTCCAGTTCAGTATCTTCCCGTTCAGCCAGGGAACTGATCTCTTTCTTCGATGAATACAGCATTATTGACAAAATCTACACAGAAAAAAGGCAGCATGTGGTGTGACAGCTGTAGATATTATTAGAGTATCTGCAATCAGCATTTTGTAAGAACATTATAAGACTTGGACAGTGGTTAACACATCCTACTCTAAAAAGAAGCAGCACCTAAAAAAAAAAAACCAAAACCAACCAACACCCAAAACACAAACCCAAACCATTTCCCACTTCACAAATGAGTTACACCTTCCAGGCTGCTACAAAGACAATTTAAGTCATTAGCTGAAAGTGTAAAAACTTGAGAAAATAATTATTTAACCATTTCAGTACATCAAAGGTTTGAGGATTCTTAGACAAGGACAGAGCAGAGCTGACTTATCACCAAAAAGCCAGCGACGCCTCTACACACTCTCCTCCTTTGAAAACGTATCGTTGGCTTCAGCACAGCCAACAACACTAGTACTCATAACAGGAAGAAAATAATGTTATACACTTCCTTGGTCCTCCAGTTTGTGTCAGCCTCAGTTCCGAGGATTAACACAGGCAGAGCTATGGCGAGACATTTTAGTGCTCGGAGCAGAACATTCATTTGGTATAATGCTGGCCAAAGGGGAGGAAGGCGGGACACCTCTCCGAGTGAGGGCTGGTTCTCTGGCTGTAGGTCAGGCGGCAGCAAGGTCCCACAGTCCGGATCTGATTCTCAAGTATTTTGAGCCAAACACTTGGGGCAACTTTTCAGAGGAATTCCAGGGCATTACGCTTTCTCTCTCTTATTGTTGCTACAGTCCTAAGTATGAATTAACACAACTCTTGCCCATGATAAAACACAACTAACGGTTGAACCACGCTTACCTTCCAGCAATTAACAAACACTCAGAAAGAATGTGCCCACATGCATATTGATCTCCCCATATTGCACTACAGTAATACCTTGTACATGTCAGTGAGTAATGCAAGTAATGTTTTTATTTGAGATTAATGGAATTTTCAAGAACAGTCTAAATAAAATTCATAAAAGAAACTGAGTAGGTGATTAATGCCTCGTCTTGCAAATTTCTTTCAAACACAATCAGATTAATTAAAATCAGCTCCTGCTTTAATGAAGTTAGACTATTATCTACATAATTATGATGGACAGAGGAAGGCAGATTCAGGGATACAGTTAAGTGAACATTTTTATAAAGACTAATTAGAAATACTCTTGAGACTTTCTTCACAAAAGGGAAGTGCACTGCCATAATCCTTCATGCCACTGTGCGAAGCCTGACTTTTTACAAAACGTAACTTTTCTTACCTCCAAGTCTCTGAGAAGCCAGGTCTTACTGAAGCCAGTTCCTTTGCTACATTTCTTCACTAGAAGCTTGAGTAAACCAGACTGAAGAAAGGCAGCTTGGATCTCCTTAAAGCCATGAATCTGCACACACAGACACACACAAAAAGGGAACAATGCATCACAATGCTTGCAAGGCCTTATCACACAAGGCCTCAGATAAATTTCCTGCCCAGAAGAAAAGTTGGGAATCATCTTCTTTCATTTCCCTAAAAAAAACCCCACTTCAAATACCTTAAGAGCATCATATATGACAAACACACAGTAGTAATTGGATATCTGTTTTGCTCTCACAGTCCAAAAAAATATAGATCCCCTCTTCAAATACTTCAGGAGCAAGAAAAGGGGCAAGTGAGCTTCACTCCATAAAGTGTTATCCCTATAAATTTCTTCTTCAACTTTCACGAATGGTCAAGCGACCCAACTTTCAACTCAGACTGCTATTTAAAGCCTAGCAACATTTTCAACCCGCTACAGACAGGGGATAAAAGGAGCCAGCTGTGAGAGAAATGAACTTGTGTTAGTTCCCCAATGTGCTTAGTCAATACCCAAGTTCTTGTACCGCAAGGTAGAATGCAAACTTTTATTTATCTATTATATTCTACATGTTAGGCAAAAGATACCTTAAGTGTTCTGTAAAGCCCCTTTAGAGCAAGCGACAAGACCCAAGTTGCTTCCACTGCCTCAGCATAGCTGCTGTCCATGCTGGTTTGCAGAAGGTGAGTGGATATAAGAACAAAGTGCTGGAGGTACTGTCTCAGCTGGGTCTGGGAATCACTGCCTTCTTGTCCACATTTCTGAATCAACTGATAGTCTTTCACTACAAGACAGAAAAACCACAAGTCACTAGGTTCATCTTCAAATGTTGTGAAATCATTTCTTACCAGTAGATGTGAGTAGGCCGAGAAATGAACACGATGCATACGTGAAGTACATTCTAATAACCACAGTCACATTAAAGAGACTGTAGAAGAACCACCTATCTGCTTTGCTGTGGCAAAATTACACTCTTGTACGGAAATTATCTCAGACTTGTACTGAAATTATCTCAGATTCATTGAATAGTCAAGAAAATATTTCATTTTTCAGTGCAAGTTAAAAAACCCCTAGGTAACTTCTGGCAACGGCTGATTGTCTGCACATATTTGCACATAAACAGTACAGCATACAAAGCAGCGCATGTTGTATTTTACAGTTAAAATGGGGAAAATTCTGACCTGCAATTGATATGATGAAATAAATCCTGCTGATCTTACTGTTTAAAATGTCAAGAGTTTAAAAAAAAAAAAAAAAAAGCTTTTATATTCAAATCTTTCTTCAATATCAAAAAACAGTTTAGTCTATTGATTTTTCCAAGTATCTTTTTAAAAGAACTTCAATAGTCAAATCTTAGGACATTTTTTGCTTTAACAACTTCACAATATTAGGTCATGTATGCCAAAGCTGAAAGCCCTCGCTCCTACAAATCCAACTGATTTGTCATATGTTAAAGGTTTAGCTTGACTAACTTCTAAACAAGGTGAAATACAGAAAGAAAATTCTCTCTGGTACAACAAATGGGACCCAGGAGGCAGCATCTAGCTCTGGGTTTTTGTTGTTCTTTTCTGGTGGTTTTTGTTGTTTGTTTGTTTTTTAAATAGCCTTTAGACACCATAATAGCCAACACACTCTACCGATGTGCCCTAGAATGGATTATTCTAAAATATCCAGACACATTTCCTGGAGTGTACACTATTCCATGCTGTATAGCTCTTTTCACATTTTTGCCTCAAATTTTAGGGGTATCCAAACTGTTTTGAAAAATTCTTCTAGACAGGAGGAAAACGGAGAAGCTAGACTCCTGACATTTTATAAAGCACATGATTAAAGAAGTTAGGCCTGTCCTCATGGCATGCTTTTTTACAGGATCAGGAAATAACAGCCAACACAGCATAATTTCAGAATCAATCGATAATGGGTATATTTGTGTTTGTTCTTAGTCTTCATTTACTAGTAGGTAGCACATCTTGCCCACAGCAGAAACAGGCACTTCATTAAAATGCAGAGTCTTTTTGGAGCAACAAAATGGACTATCCCAAAAATGTTCAGGCTCTGAGTACCTTTCCTTTATATAGCAGCACCTAACTACACAGAGGCAGCATGTGCATTTTTTTAGATTTGCGGTTGTTTCAAAACATTGAGCGCATGTCTGTAAGTGATAAGACACAAGCAGTAAGCAAATCTCAAAACTGCTTAATCAAAGGCCTATTTCTGAGATTTCTCAATTAATAAAATGGTGAACAGTTTCCTAAATCCTTTTCTGAATAAAAATAAATGTCAGAGTTTAAAAAGAAAGTAAGTCTCCATAATCTTTACTGCAAAAGCTTCTCAATTTGGTTTAACCTATGAGCAGAAAATCAGGCGACTTACTAATAAAGGAATTCAAACTCTGCAGACCTGCATCAAGTGGTCTAGTTAAAATATGCTGTTGGGTATCCATAAGAAACTGTAAGGAAATACTTTGTGATTCTTTGATAAAATAAAAATGTCACAGAACCTGTTTTTCTCTTTCGGGTTTTGATGTCTACTACAACTGCCCTGTTTTTCTCCGTGAAATGCTTCAGGATGATCACGTTATGAGGCTCATTAGCATTATCCATGTACACAGAACGAGTCCCCATACACAGCACCTGAAATTGCAGCAAAAGTTTCAGTTATGGTTTGGAATACTTATTTGTAAATACACAGTCATCTTTTATATTGGTTATATTTGCTTATACTTGGTATTGTATTTTTGAGCTGAAAAATCTGCTCGCTGCCAGGTATTTGCTGATTTTTAGAAAATGGCAGTTCCTTTCTATAAAAGAAATGCCTACAACAAACAACTTAATGCTACATAGGCAATATATCAGAATTATGACTATCAAGAGCGAGATTGGTTTGTTTCACTTGTATAAAAAGCCCTTTTTGATACTCAGACATACTAAGCTGGTTTTCTCATGATAGTTATAAGTAGCACTCAAAGAAATACAAAGCAAAACCAGCTACATTATTCTTTATTAAATAAACATCAGTTGTGCGCAAGTGGAAAGATGTGAACTCTGACATACACTGTGTTTTGACAGTTTATAATGGATGTCCCCAATTTGATGAAATCCATAGAGTTTAGAAATAGAAACCTAAAAGCTCTAACCAATTTCGCTTCCTTTAGTATCAATAGGCCACTTACCTCAGGAAACCCAACCAGCACCAATAAAGTGAAGATATTGGTGTGCTTTAGCTGGAAGGGCAGTTGCTTAACGCAATGGTCAGTGAAAGCAGCGATCACATTATGCCACTGCGCAGAAGAGTTCAAAGATCGAAGAATATCTGCCAACGTACACGACTGGAAAGCAAGAGCAGTCTGTATTAGGAGGGCTGACTACAGACTTACCTGAAACTATTTTTCCTCAAGACAGCGTATCACTGTTAATCTGTCATAGCTACAGCTTTCATATCATTATATAATTGTTCTTCCAAATATTTGAAGCTTTCATGTCAGCTGACAAAATGAATTCTGTTTTGTTTTTCATCACTAGAGCACGACTGGAAAGCAAGAGCAGTCTGTATTAGGAGGGCTGACTACAGACTTACCTGAAACTATTTTTCCTCAAGACAGCGTATCACTGTTAATCTGTCATAGCTACAGCTTTCATATCATTATATAATTGTTCTTCCAAATATTTGAAGCTTTCATGTCAGCTGACAAAATGAATTCTGTTTTGTTTTTCATCACTAGAGCATACTCTGTTTTCCTAAAGGGTTTACAGTCTCACATCAAAGTGTGTCTGAACATTGTCACCTTTAATTCCTAACTTTAGTTTAGAGCTCAGAAGTTTTTCTTTGCACAACAGGAAGTGGTTTATTTCCCACGTATGTGACTACCTGCTCTCTCTCTGCAGACTACACAAATAATCTAGAGAGACTGGCTGCCTTGCTGTAAAGTTAGTCTTTGAGAAACTTCTTTCCCTCAGCTGATGATCTGGATGTTCCGCCTTTAAATTTCATATGCTTTTCTGTTTGTTTGTGAACCTTCCCTGTAAAACATAGCTACAATGAAAAATAACACTGTCATATTTAACAGGCATGACATTAATCTTAGAATGCTTGAGAGCTTTCTCAAGATTTTCAAAATCGAACACCTGCCCTGCCCCTCCTTGCTGTTTCCAGTGTAATTTTACTGCACAAAAATCTCTAATACTCTTCCATAAAAGGGCCAGATCCAGAACACAATACTGGTGGTAGTTACCACATGACACACTCTCCACCTTTCCCAAGTTACACAAGAGATATGTAACTCAATGGGAGAGAACTAATGTCATACAAAAAAATATAGGACTGTATTTTGTTTTTCCTCGAAGCTTCCAAACCTTACTTCTTCCACTATAACATGCTACGTAGGTAAGCACAGGCAATTAAGCCACTCTTCGAGAGACAGCCTTTTTTTGGAAGGAAATTGAGATTCTCACTGCAACAAGGGCTGCAGATGCTAAACCATTCCCATGATCAGGGAGCAGGTTTAACTGACTTTCTGTTAAAAAGGCTCTATACATGAGGCACACATAAAAGAAAATTAGTATTAGTCATCAAAGAGTAACTAAAAGGTTTAAATTAAAAAGCACCTGTCTAAACACACAGCTCCCAGACTGAACAGAAGATGAGTTGTCTTCCAGCCTTCTGGCACTGTAGACCCATCTCCCGCAGCAAACAAATTATGTTTGGCTGAAAGGACTTTAGCCACTGCAGCATCTACTTCTGCAGGCATAAGTCTCAGGATTAATTGGCCCAGAAGTCCCAATGTTAAATGATAAGTTTCATTTAGGTGGCCAGCGTTTGAGATTACAACCTGAAACATCAGTGGAAGTATTTGTTCCAGATTAATCAAAGACATTGTAGAGCCCTATGGAAAAAGAAAAATCTCAGTAAGGCAGGGAAAGAAAACAAGGCTTTCAGTCAAAGTCATAGCACATACAAAAGCTTCTGTTCTAATGCTCTTTCAAATGGGACAAAAGGAAATGAGAAACTACGTTCCTACTTCTGTTGTTGACTAGTTAAGATGACCTGACACATAAACCTAAGTTGATGGTCTAAACTTTACAGCTGTTGAACAGTTAAGATAGACTGCTTTACAGATAAATTAAAATTCCCCTTCCTCTCCCCCCCACCCAGAAACAAGCCCCTACATTCCTTAGTAATGTGAAATGTCCTAAGACATTCTGGTTCGCATTTTATAACGTGTAAGCAACCAGAGCCCATCTCCCACATTTAATTTGCTATGAATTTTATTCATGTTATTTGTGACACCTAGAAAACTACACAGATTGAAAGTAAAAAGAACTAACTGATTTGAAAGGTGGTAACATAGCTGCCAGCAATCCTAGAATCCTCTTCTGAGAGCATTCAGCAAAAACTTGTTCCTGGCTAGGTATTAAAACCTTCTCTGCTTGCTTCTGGGCTGAATCCTCCAAGAGGTAGTCATCTGCTTTTTAAATTAAAACAAAAGAAGAAAATCCCCAAAATGACATTAAAAATAAAACAAATAAGTGATAGCTTAATTTTTATAATTACAATTTAAGGATAAAAACCCTTTTTAAAAATTTTATTAAAAATTGAAAAGCAGGTCTTTATAAAAGTGTATAAAAGATAGTAGGTAAAGAGATTTACACCATCTAGTCAAAAACAAAGGACAGTACTATGGACAGATCCGTTTTACTATCATAATTCTAACAATACTAGTCTTTAATAGAATAAGAAATTTAACTTCTGGTTCCAAGTATGTAAGAATACACAAGTATTGTGTTAGACCAACAGGAACTATAATCTCCACACATGGGTATGTATCGGTGGAATTCTACTCCGATTTCTAGAATCCTTTAAACCGATTGCAAGGTAGCAGTTGCTCAAAGCAGTATGCTTGGCAGGTTCTTACAAAGCAGACAGCTCGCTTGCATTAAAGATATTTGCAAATACTCAAGAACAGGTTATGAACAAAAATACAGCTGTTTGCTTTGCATATGAATGGATATTTCTGTGACAGGGAAAATGAGAAATAATCTTTTACCTGTTGGAGAAACATTATCATCCACAGACAAGTCTGACTCTTGTCTCACAACAGCTTTCTCTGCAAAGACAGCTTTGCTTTCACTTCCTTGTTTTCCTACTTTATCTTCTGCAGGAGACTGGATTTCATTGCGAGCATCTCCTTTCCCCTAAAAATAAAACAAAGACAGTAAAAGATTAAAACAAAATTTAATACTTGCAGAAACAGCCATGGAAAGAAGCTGCCAGTCATCTGCATTTGACAAACATTTTTCCTCAAATATCAAAACCTTTTATTGGTTAAGAATTTCTTAATGTATACATGTCTTAAGGTTCCATACAGTGAAAATACATTTTTCTATTTTACTTGTATCTCTATGCCTAAAATTATTACACTGTAATAGTTTTATACACTGTATAAAACTGTAGGAAACTTGTTCTCCTACCTAAACAGTGCTAACAACTAGGGGAAACGACACCCTTTTCAGAAACAACACCTTTTGCCCCTTCCCTCCAACGCTTTTGTTGTTGCCTGTAAGAACACAAGGTGATGCCTTCGTTTTTGATCAGCTGGGTCTAATAAAAAATGAACCAACCAACAACTGTTCCCTTGCCCCCCAACTTTTACCTACAAAAGAAATCATTACTATCCATTATTTCAGTTACATATCCAGGATAGGATGTTTAAGCTTCTGAAGAACACATATCTAATTGATATCAGGCATTCTGTAAATAATGGGTACTTACATTACAATGCATAAAAGAGCCTGCACTTGGTTTCTCATCTCTTCCCTTCACTGCTTTATCACCAGTACAACTTTTTGGAGCACCATCTGTGGGAGGACTGCCTGAAACAGTGTCGTTCTCTGAGAAGGATTCACCTTCTGGTAACATGCAGAGGAGAGCTAAATTTTTCAGACCTGAAAGCAAGAAAGTTATAAAAGCTATTTAGCTGCGGAGTGGCAAGATAGGCAAAAAGCAGAACTGAAACATTTTGAAAGAGAACTGCAAACTTCCTCTCACACACTTCTTTTGAATATCAAATCCACCAAAAAGATGTTCCCTGTCATGTTCACTTAACTATGTAGTTCCATTAAATAGTGATGAACAGGTGGTGACGTTTTCCACCTCACAGAGATACCATTAGGGTAGAAGTCTTAATTAATTTAAGAAAGTGTTAGAGATACCTCCCAATAGTGTAAATTATGAAAGGTAAATAAAATTTGTCTTAGCTTTTAATCTTCTGACCACTTAAATTTATCTATACAATAAAACTGTATGTTAAAAACAAATGCATTAAATAATGAGTATGCATAAGTATTTGGTGGTGGTGGTAGTGGTATTTCAGCTGTATTAGAGCTGCTCAAAAAAACTACCAGTAAACTTATTTGAACTTGCGTCTAGAATTTTTGGTACATTCAACACAGGTCTCTATTGTATCACCCTATTTTCTGTAGTAGGTCTTAGTTCACAGAAATCCTCACTTCCAGACAAATGGACATCATTCCCAGAAACTTATCTCATACCACAAATAAGGTTCAAAAATTCTTGCCACGATATGCAGAACGAAAAACATTTTCTACCAAGTTATTTGCTTTCCTTCAAGCCCTTCAGTTGCCAGTAACACATTAGTAACAGAACGTGAAGCTATATTGATTGATCCCTTTACAACATCTAAGATGGAAAAAAAACCAACCAAAGAGATGCCAAGTTGTCTTCAATATTTATGTAAGCATAAAATTAATTTTTTCAAGCACCCTATTTTCCATGTTCCAGTGACCCTGAACAACACTTGTTCTACGTTTGCTTTCTACATAAACAGTTATGCTCAGTGAAGTACACAGTAGCTTCCCCCTTCCTTTGGAAACTTCAAAGTGAGTAATCACAGACTCTTCTGACACTTGCTAGAAACCACTGTTTCAGTGACTCACCTTTTCCGTGCTGTGCTTTCATCAAGCAGTCTCCAATGAGCTGTATGCACTGATGTTGCAGAACCCTGGCATGACTGAGGACCTGTGAATCTAGTTTCTCTCCTTCTACTTCCTCCCCATTTGCCAGATCTGCACTGTAGAGAGTCAAAGCTGCAAACAACAGCCAGGAATAATTGTGGACATATGGCTGGATGAGCCTCTGTCGGTCACTGATGCGAATAGTCACCATTGGATACACTGTGATGCTGTGAGTGGGCAAGTGACTGAAAGAAGAAGGTACATAATGTTGAAATGCAGCCACTTTCTTGCTAACCAATGTAGTTAGTAACACACGACACCTTTACAGGAAGGTATGAAAAACTCAACACATTCCAGCGTTTCAAACTGTAGGCCTTCAAGCGCTGTAAATTGTCAGAGCCTCACTGACTTCAGTAGTGCTCATTTAACAGAACCTGAACTGTTACGAGAGCTCCTGCTCTAGAAATGAAATTTTTTAAGATCTTTGGTGTCAAGCACTGAAACCTATGTTGTCTAACCACAGCACTGTTCATTTCTTCTACCTGTCATTCAGGGTTGGTAACTCCCCTTCTGCAACTTTCACAGCCACGGCTAGAAAACAACTGCTACCAAGTTACTTCAGAGGTTGGGGCAGGTTTCCAAACCGCAGAAATTTTTGCTGAACTGGTCCTATATTTGTTATGTTTCCCTGAAGGACACCAACTAGATGTTCTGATGTCAGATGCAACCTTGTAGGAAGCGACATGAGAATGACTGACTACTCAGTTGCTAATTATCACTTTTCTGCCAAGTAGGGGAACAAAATAAGGTATTTAATACCTGTCAGAGTATTTCTTTGCAGAATAGCATCCATAGCAAAGGTCAAAGTCATCACACACGTTGCAGTTCATTCTCCGACCTATGATAACTCCTTGACAGTGATCACAGGCATACTCCATGTTAACCATTTCATGGTCATCCTCATGTCCTTCGGGTTTAACTCCACCTGTAAAGAAATATTTTAAGATTTCCCTATAAGTCCTTTTTGATAAAGGATCTTTCTTAATTTCAAGTTCATGTTCAGATTAGGAAAAGAAAAGCTTAACATTTCTAAAATACCCAGAAGAAAAGTCTTTCACTTTATTTTATGTATAATTTAGAAGACACTATTTTGCCTTCAAGTATAGGGTTTGGGGTTTTTTTTTCATGATTCTTACCAAGAAAACAAGTTTTACACAGATCCATGTCATTGCATTGCAGACAGCGGTAGCGATGCCATGGTGCAATTTCATCACAGCCATCACAGGATATGTCCACATTTAACAGGTCACAGTAACGAGCAACAAACATGTGCATCTAGAGCAATAAATGAACATAATTTACTTGAGTATTATTTTCTGACTTTGAGAAAGCTCTTTCTAGACAGAAGCAGAACACTTCCCCGGCCAAAAAGGATGGGGATCTTTTCACCATTTTAGACTTTTGAAGGCCTACAGAGAGCCAGGGATCCAACTCATGAAAAATCAGTTTAAGTCAGATTCCTTTCTCTCCTTTATGCTTTTAAAAGTCTCCTAATTACCCCTTCTGCAGATAAATAAGCAAATCATGAGGTCACCTTTCTCTGCTTCTCTGGGTCAGCTTGAGCTATCTTTTCATACCAGGTCTCAAACATTACATCCTGACATTCATCCATCCACTCACAGTTTTGCTTGTAGTCTGCAATTTCATCTTCTTCACTCCACTGACTAAAAGAAAAGCAAGCTCAAAATGAAGTTTGAATGCAATCAGGCTTCCCTGTAATATAACTTGGGATACTTTTTTTTTTTTAAAGAACGAAGTGCTATAAAATGCTAATAAAAACAGAATTGTGAGAACTCCAGTTCACTTGGTTAATAAATGACCATATAGACACCTGCTTCTTGCCTCTGTGACAAGTTCTTAAATACATATGGGGACCATAATGCAAAATCAGAAAAATCCACACTTACAAAACTGCTTTTGGTAATGCTGGCAGATCAGTGAGAAATTTTAAAAGCTTTTTGGCCTTTATATTTGCTCAGAGGTACAACTACTATAAAAATGAAACATGCAGGTGTTAAAACATTTGATATTTATCAAGACAAGAAACAGCATTATCTACCTCCTGCTACACTGCTAAACAAGTGAAATGTTCCAGCAGTAATCAGGTTAAAGATAAAATTGTAATAGTTTTTGCACTAGTAATGCTGCAAAAATTTTCAAATACTTCACTTAAGCCCTTGGATACTGGCCAAAATTTTGCCATTCTTGTTAGTAGTATTTTTACTGCTTGTTCCAGCACAAAGTTCAGGAGCCTTTCTTGGTAAAAATGGTATCAATAGTTAATACCATGTGAAAGTTGCATTCTTCCTGACTCACCAAATGACACTGTCATGAATACTTATGTTTTCTTGTGATGTAGTCATAAGAAGATGTGGTAACTGAATCTCAACAAAGAAGGAAAGATCGCTTGGTTCCCAACTCATATCCAAAAGGTGAAGGAGAGTTGTCTGCACACATGATAAGGCAGGAAGCAATGATCTGCATAAAAAACAAGACAACAAAACATGTCTGCTCTAACCTAAAGCTGAAATTGCATATTTGGGCATTAAGAGGGGAACAATCACTGTACATTGATATCCAGGCTTTACTCTGCATTAAATTAACTATGTGGCAGAAACTCAGGTTTACTAATGCATAAACTTACACAATTTAGCAAGAAGCATAGCCAACGCAATTTGAAATAAAGATCGTATCTTTTATGGATTCAGTTGAGATAGAGCTTATGCTATTGCCTGAGCATTAACAAGAGGGTCTGTCTCTTCTCTGCAGTACAACATTTTCTTGATATTTGCAGGAACTTGTTCTCTTTGAAACCTTTGCCATGTTCAGTTGAAACTAGACAAAGGACTTGGAAGTTATTGGCAGAGAAACGGACATTATAGTCACAAAATTCTCATTTCTTTAGGACACCTGGCTATAAATCCCAACAATTCTAACCAGGATGCTACCAAAACATAAGCTTTAACATGAAAGCATGATTGCAGAATTGCGATATTTATTTACTCTTGCCAAAGCATTCCACAATAAATTTGCTATTTCTAGTATTTTACTATTAAGCTTCAGAAACACATTGCAGAGTTATAACTACAAAATGCCATAATAAGTCAAAGTTTTAACATGGATAAATTTATTGTGCTTTCCTGCATAGTATTAATAAAAAGGTAACTTGGCATTTTTGATCACAATATCAAGACCCCTCATTTAGTTCTGTAAATAATGCAAAGTATAGTCAAACTTAATTAAGATATTAAACAATAAATAACAGTGACAAAAGAAGAAGTGAGGAAGAACAGGAAAAAAAAAAAATCTCACGTAAGTAATTCAAGCAATGTACTGTACCTGTCATTAATAGTACTAAATCCCTTCACAGAATTTACCAGGAACAAAACAAGCTGATAGTAGGACTCTCGAATCTCTCTGTGTAGCTCAGCACCACAGCCTTCCAGGTTTCCAAAGTAGCTAGAAATTAAAGGCTCAGTTTAGTAGTCTAGAATTCACTGCTACATTTTAGGTAGCACGATTTGTGCAAATTTTACAAACAGACAATCTTCTAAACACTCCCCACCAGTGGGAAGGATGTTAGTTTTGTTTAAAATGCTTAAAATGCAGTCTGCCACTTTCAAAGAAAGAAGAAAGAAAAAAAAAAACAACGAACCCTGTACCAGGAATCAGAAGTTAAGAAACAAAACAGGCAAAGAGAATATTCTCATGGCACTAATGAAAGAACATTCCTTCAAATTAAAAAGGTGCTTTACAAAAATCTAATCAAGATCTTAAAAGGAAATCAGTGCACTGCAAGGTGACCATAAAAAGCTCTTGACAAGCGAGAAACCAGCCGACAGAGTTCAGACAGCACTGTCCAGACACACAATAGAAATCAGACCTAAATTCATGAACCAGAACAGCATAGTATTAGCTCCTGCTTTGAGATAGTGCTTTCTAGTTGTACATAAAATTTGAAAAAACTTCCAAATTATCTTTCCTTACTTAGAACAACAATTGCACATGCATATAATCGATATGATCTTTTTGCTTTTTTTTTGTGTGTGTGTATGTGCATGCCCTATAACTGGTACATAGCACTGCAGACCTTAGCTTGCATGTCCATCACTTCAGCCTCTGGCACACGAGTGGAATATATCACCCCACAATAAAATTTGTCTTGTACAGGTATCACATGCAAAGCTATGAAATTCATGAACAAGCAAATGCTTGACTAACAAGATATAACATGCACCATTGTTGGAAGTTAGTTTTTCTGCCAGATAGGTATTACCTTGATTTACAAAGTAAGTTCACAAAAATTATAAAGACGCAACGCTACATAAGTAATTACAAGTTAAATGGGTTAGATCACTACAGCTTTACTGGATGAGAAAGAAACCAATCTAGAATTAGACAGGAACTTAAATTAAAGCCATAACCGAAGACTCTACAATCTTTCAGTTTGTTTTGTTCTGGTTAGAACTGTAAAGATGTTTCCAGGTATCCACACTGTGATTCAACTGCATGATACCCGCTGGCATGAATAGCTGTACAACTATGTCCCACCTGAAAATAATAATTTTTTTTTTTTTAAATGAAGCATGCAAGATATGCGTAGTAGCCTAGAAACTAATCCTCAGATTGTATTTTTATTATCTACATGGATTAAAAACCAGTAACTTTCTACTGTTTTCAATATACATGACTGGGAGAACACAAGGACTAAGATACATTAAATCTCATGGCTGAGACTTGTCTAAATAGTTACTTACTTTGTAAAATCCTTCTGACAGGCTAGAAGTTCTAAGAGAAAAAGTACACATGGAGGATGAAAACAGTCTGGCTGCCCAAGTGAGTCTAGGCACTGGCGGATTGTCTTGAGCACTTCCATAATACTCTGCCCTTGGGATTTTCTCAAAGCAAGAACCTTTAAAACACTAAGAAGAGCAAAAAACATCTATGAGGACTTCAGAACATTGTGCTCAAAATAACCCAAATAAATCACAATTCAAGAAGTACTTGACTAGTTAAACAAGAGTTTGGTATCTAAATTTCCAATTGTATTTCAGCAGTGGTATATTGCATTTGGAGTGAGTGATAAAGCTTCAGCCAGAATCCAGGACTTTCTGCACCAGTCCAAGTTTTAGAGCTTAAAATAGACAAACTGAGAATTGCAAATCTCTCTTTTGATTTACATTTTCAGAATATCAGGTAATTTAATGAGAGAAGCAACTATTCTATATTTGATATCAAGGATTTCTAGTACAGCTGTACCATGTCTTCACTATAGATAAGCAAAATGTCACTGCAAACAGATCTCAGGAAGCAAGACAAGAAACAGCCAAGTAATTGTTTCTCATATTCTGAAGTTCTATATCATAGAAGTGAATCAAAGGAAAGAATACTCGCCATCTGAAGAGGTCTGAAGACAAGTTTCTGTATTTTATAATTGGCAACAATTTCAATTTGCTTACCTTTCATGTGAAAGTGACTGATCCTTAATAAAGTCTAATGTGTTTTTCAATATAGGATATTTCTCCTTCACAGTAGGCACAGCTCTCGGCTCTTCCATTGATCTGAAAGACAGCAGCCTTAATCTTCCACGGCTGAATGGAGATTTTCGTGTAGGAGTGGAAGGAGGTGATGCTATGTCTTCTTGCTGTGAAACTGTATTCTCAACAGGCTTACTAGGAAATGCAGATGCTTCCTCTGTTTGGAGGGGGTCTGGAACTTGTTTAATTTTCGTACCAGATTGTGTCATTTGGCCCCCCTCTTTTGAAACAGGATGAGTTACTCCATTGGAAGACAATGAGTGTGCTGGCTGGAAGTCCGTGTCCACAACAGAACCTTTTCTTTGGCATTTATCACTGACGTACTGTTGGATATCATCAATATCTTGGGCTTCCAAACTGTCTGAAGCAGAATCTTTCGTCTTTGCTCTTACAGGCAAAAAATTCAGTAACAAAAGGCTCTTCTGCATACAAAGTTTTGCTGCAGCATAAAAATTGGAAGAGTTAAAATCATGAGAATAGAACACCAAACTCGCTATCTTCTGCTTAGGAAGAAAGTGATTTATCTTGTTTCTTCTTAGCCAAGACAGCTAGAAAATACTGTTTTTCTTATTACATTGATCGTGACGCTATCAGTTACTTAATTCTAGATTTCGAAATGCTAAATTTGAATAACCACACTGAACCATATGAAGCATACAGTAGTCAATGAGAATACCTTTTATTCTACTAACAATCAGCTGCTATTTTAACATCAGTTAATCGTGGTGACAAGTATCTACAAAAATAGATGAACGTAAGTTCAGAACCAGGTGACCCAAGTGAGAGGTCACTCCCTGTAGAATTTTCTCACGTACTATTTTCTGCAAAGAATAGCAGAACACAATCCCAGATGCTTTCACGTAATGTACACTAGTTTATCTCTTAAGGTATTAAAAAGTAACCCCAGCTGCTAACTTACTTTTTACAGCAAAAATAACGTCTAAGATTTACAAGGCAATGCTTTACTAAACTACCTGGAATGCTTATACATTTGGAAAGGCAACACTTACCAAGAGTTTCTGGGTTCACCTCACTTGCTTCTGTGTTCTGTTTCTCCTCAGAATCATTTCCCCTACCCATCAGGGATTTCTGCTTCATTTCCAACTGTAGACAGGATGTTAAAATAGTTAAAATACGACTCCCCCTGTATATCTATACAGCAAGGCAGTATGAAGACTGCATCACATTAAAGGAATTTAATCTCAGGAACAGATGACAGTATTTACTACTCCCTACTGCAGAACAAAACACCCAGTAGTCTAAAAGCGCAAAACCTAAACTATCAGAGCAGATAACACAGCCTCATACTGAGATCCTCAAGGTTTGTAGGCTGAGACCCTTCCCTGTCTTGTGACTAGATGTGCATCAGCCCTCCAAGAAAAAGGTTTCCCCTTTACCCTAACCATTCAGGGAAAGATATACATCTAGTCATGAGATAAGATTCTCCAAAAGCATCATGTCATCTAACAAGTGAGTACTGTCAGATGCAAATATCACCTGTCATGCAACGGGTACAATGCAATTACTCATCTTAACATGCATCTGCACTCATTGCATCTCTAGTGTATCAAACTGCTGGGAATTCTTGCAGGCAGGAAAGAGGAGGAGGAGATCACAAGATACTAGAACAGTTAATTTGGCCAGCCCACATCTGAAGGGCTCACAAGAGTAGCAGAAAAGCGGGCCATAGACTGAATTAGCTGTTCTTGAAGGCCACGTAGTTGTTAACATTTAGAATCTCCTGCAGATTAATGAAAATCTAAATGAATTTTGACTCTCTACAGCTGCAGGTGATGATGCGGACACCTCTCACCAGGTTGTGAGCTGATGACACCAGCTCTTCGCATAAGGCTTATGTTTCAAAGAAAATTATGTGCAAAAAACATACTCTGAACTGCAGCCAGTTACTTGCTTGTCAAAGAAGCAATTATTTCCTTTTCTGTTAGCACTGCATTACTATAAGAATGATGTTTGACAGATTTCTTTCTATGCTATAGCTCAAAAGAACTCCAACTGCTATGTAAGAATCTTCCTAATAAACACCACACAGTCTTGCTGAAAAATAACACAAATATAACTGATTTTGAGTCAAATTCAGTCCTAAATACTCATGATGACACATCTGGGGCTGAGGGAAGGAGGGGAGTGTACGAATGCATTTAAATGTTTAAGTTCAAAGTTTAGAAGTGAATATATGTTCTTCCTAAGTGAAAACAGTTGATCTAGAATCACCGAAGGAACACATGGTTCCACCCTACTTCTTAACATTGCATTGTAAAATATTAAGGTAAATTACATTAATAGATAACCTCCTGAGTGATCTTACCATCCATATTCTAATTGAATCAGCCAGGGAATATACTTGTGCAAACTCATCACTCAAAGGCACCTTGCCTCCACTGTTGACTGGAAATGAGAGAAAGAAGAGTTCTGTTTATTTAGAGCTCCATTTTTACACAACTTGATTACTTAACTAAAATTATGCTAGAGTTTTCCTTCATCTCTTAGTCAATACTTGGAATTATGCCTGTAAGAAAAATAGGGAATAAAACCTGCCAACTTTCATACACCTTAAATACATAAACTGCACCTTGACAGAGTTATTTGCAAAGTTAAATTATTAATATCTTTCTTGTGTCTTCCCAAAATTCATGCCTGCAACCATGGAAAATAAAAACTCCCTATACAGGCAAATATTACTAATGCAAACTGATATCAGAATAATCAAGAAATGCTTAGTATTAACTTAAAGCTCTATAGATGTATTTAGTTATCCATTTTTTTTCCCTTTTGTTTTATGCTACGAATTTCTGGAATGGACTTTCAAGATCAATTTACAAAAATTAAAGACCTGACAAAACAGTTTCCATCAAAACTGGCCTGACAATAACTATGGAGAAAAAGACATTTCTATTCAAGGTCTTCCCTCTCCCATTCCCCCATTTTTTTAAAAGTCTTTTTTTTTCCCCTCCTTCTTTTCAGCACCACTTGTACATACTTCACATGGCATAGGTGAACATGGATCCTGAAATTGGTCTGCCCCAGCAAGACTGACAGATGAAGCTATTAACATAATAGTAGGATGGATATCTTATCCACTCATTAATATTCTCCTGAGCTACCACAGTTTTCAATCTTACTCAGAAAATTAGATCAATTGTCAGACATAGACTAAATGACTAAAGGCAATAACCACTTTAGTCATCAAGTCAGTCTTCGTGTCAATCATTTTTACCCATAACTTTATAGCTCAAAATGTAAGATGTTTAGCTTCAAAATTGTGACAGAAAGTGAAAGCCTAAAACGAAACCCTTCAAAACCAAGTAACACCTTATTATCCACACTTCAAACATATTAATAAGCTTAATGGAAGGATGGTGTAAGTTTAAAAGTTGTTCATTTTACCTACTGAAAATACATAAATGGTAATACAACAGAGATTATACAAGTTAAAAGAAAAACATTACCTTTTATTTAAAAAAAATTTTTTTTAAAATATACATATATTGAGGATACCGAGATTAGTTGCCACAGTATAACATTTTGGGAGGTAATTCACACCTCCTCCACCCCCAACGTTTGAAAACATATATAAGTTGGTGCTGGCTTTTTAGAAAAGATACAATGAGAGTGGAAAATGATATAAGAACCTCTCATCACTGGGAGCCACACTGTTCTGAATTAAAACCCCAGAGGACATCATTACTCTCGTTGGGTATATCCTTATAAGGCTTAGTCAGTAGCTTATGATGGTTACTAAAATTTGGAGAGAGCTCTGAAGATAAAAGCATATATTAATAAAAAATAAACACTCTAGAGATAAGGTTTACCTAGTCTACCTAAATGATGACTTTTTTATACAGAGCATCTTTTTAAAAATCGTCACACTAAACTGATTTTTCAAAGTTTATAAACTGAACTGTGAGATAGCCTTTTACAAACTTTAAGTCTTCATTATTAAGATAGTCTAATATTAGAGTTACCATATTTTTGAAGCTTCTCATATAAATCTGGAGTGAGATACACCAAAGCAGCAAATGTTGAGTTCACAGCTTGATCAACAGTAGAACCAGCAACTATATCTGTCTTTGGGGTCTGTTTTTTACATGCCTGTATAAGTCCTTTGAAAAGTTCAGATTTTTGCCCACTGAAGTCCTGGGCAGGATCTGATTTTGCAAAGTCGATAAGAAAGTTACGGCAGTCATCTCGGTGAGAGCTCCTAGCCTGGAAAGAATGTTAGAAAACATTTACTTTAATATTATCTGAAAAATTGTTGCCGCTCATTTCTACAATTAAGTCAACCTGCAGTATATCTACTGCAGTTGAGCAACCTGATCTAATGAAAGCTGTTCCTGCCCAGGGCCGGGGGGGTGAATTAGGTGATCTTTGAAGGTCCCTCCCAACCATTCCACGATTCTATGGAAATGGAAACTAATTCAGGGCACGGAACAACAGTTTCTTTCCTCCTTGACATTTGAATTAAACAGCGCAAGCGATGACAACTTCAGCACAAGAGCATATGCTTAAGGACGTATCAACTAATTAAGTCTGAATGAAACTGTGTGATACATAGGGATTTCATACCAATGAAATAAAAGCAGTGGTGTAAGTACCTCTTTTTTATCTTGGTGCAGTCTACTGCTTTGACTGGCTCCCAGGAGCGCCTCAGGACACATCTGATGCCTGAAGACAGGTTTCCACAGAGGAGAATTAAGAACTGATGTTACTTTCAAAGCAGGCAAGTCTGCTTCACTACCTAGTTCTGCAAGAAATTCAGAACAGACACTTCAGTTACTAAATAGTTTTGTTCATTTTTACAGATTAATGAAAATAAATGTTAAACATCCAGTAGGGGAGGAGGGAAACGGTAATGCAAATAGACTGAACAAGTAATTTAACAACATTCTCTGACTTCTGTTTCTCTGATGTGGTGCAGAAAACCGATGTACCCTTTCTTTAATGATAGCATCAATTTCTTATCTTACAGTGACAATATGTTACATTATGGAAGGACTTTAATGTAAACATTTTTGCTATACTTATATCCATAGAAATTTCCAAACAATTTGCCTGAGAGTTGAAAAGCTTTTTCTCCTACAAAAGACATAATAATTTGCTCTATGTAAGGAAGCTCATAATTAACAAAGGAGAAAAATATTCTACGGTAAGAACACTTCAATTAGTTTCCTAAATCCACAGATAAGTACCTGCCTAATTTTCCAAGCTAAGTACTGACCACCTGATTGCAGCAAGAACTCTTTAACTTTGTTAAATTTCTCCAAAGTGGTGAATGAATTCAGATTTAGGAAGCTAGCTAGAAGCATACTGGTTTTGAAATTAAAGAACGCTCTCTTTTTTTTCTTATCGCACCCATCTCACGTTTTGTATTTTACTTATCCTCAGTGGCCAAAATCCTAAGCGTGCTTAACTTCTGGAATTAGCCAAACTTAATTTGATTGGGCAAACTCTGATACTACTTCATACATGTAATTCAGCTTAGTATGATTACTTTCAGGTGTCCCGCTCCTCCTAATATTGGCTTCTGACTATTAGAAAAATCACAGTGATCCCTGAGACATTTTCAGAGTAGTCCTGCAGAACAGTGGTCAGGCTTGCTGCACAGAGACCACAAAAAATGGATATAGCTCAATGACCAAATGCTGTTAAGCAGCAATACTGCAAGTCTTCCATCTTCAGTCAAGAGGGAAATACAGAAGGAACTTTATTTTCACAGGGTATTCGAAACATAAGGTCCTTGTATCTTCTATTTATATGGCACCACAACTTCTGGAGCTATTAAGTGCACTCACCTCGTAGAGATTTCAGCGCCATACTTCGGGAAGCCAAGCGCCCCATCAACCGGGATACAAGAAGCTGTAAATCCAAGCCCCAAGAAACGGCAACATCTGGTAGGCCATAAGCAGTGACGGAAAACTTGTAGCCCCACTCATTATTACTGCTGTCAGAGTGAAAGAGAAACTGCAGCCGTGGGCCAGCCTTAAAGGTCACTTTCTACAGAGCAACAAAACAGTCATTTTGCCAAATGTACATGACAGGAAGACGTTTCAGGGTAATGAATTTCCTTCAGCAACTGTGGTTTTTCAGTATTATGTTCTGTCCATAACAGATCTAACTTCCCCCACCATCTGAACGAGAAACCCACAATACTAAGCAGATAAAATTTCTATTCAATAGCTTAATGAGAAATTTCATAGATGATTGAGCTTTAGAAGTCAGAGCCATAAAACAATAGAGAAGCATCCCATTTGAGTAGGTGCCACTGAAGAAAGAGAGTAGCCGCAGGAAGCACTACGCTCGTCTCACGATGTAAAGAAATTGTGAGGGCAGAGTGTCAACAAATAAGTTTTACCCATGTAGTTAAACATGATTATTACTTTTCATTTTGACTGACTGCTCCTTCGATAAGAGCAACAAAGAGGGATTGTTTACTCATTCACTCCTTTTATTTGCATCATTGCAGACTTTCTTCCCCACCTCCTGCCCCCCACCTTTGAGAAGGACTAAACACACACACAAGCACACGTGCTTTTAGACAACAGTTTTTCCACAAGTATCAGTATCATAAGAATTTCCTAAGATTGGATATATCACTGGGTTCAGATTTTTAAAGGTGCTCACCTTAGGCCACTTCTCAGTGCCAACCTTTGTATCGTAACGAGTTTTTGCACCTCTGGCATCAGTAAACTCCAGGTAATCATACCTGTGAAAATTGCAATTCATTACTTCCAAAGTTACTTTTTCAGTTTTGGGGGAAAACGTTTGCTTTTGGATTTTCACAAGTGCTGCATCTCAGAGTACCCTGTTACATCTTTCGGAACCACACCTGCATTGCTTCACATGACTGCTAAGGAATTTACGTCATGTTTCAATGCAATAGTCCCAGCAAACACAGACCCGCTTTCCTGCAGAACTTTCCCAACCCTTCAGAATTGCTGATTTTAACATCCGGCATACGCCTTAACTAAGTAGTAGCTTGACATGTTACCAAGAGAAACCAAGCCAATAGTTTTGCCTAAAGAGGGCGAAATAAATACCACAAGCACAAACTGTGGCGGTCACAGCAATATTACAAGACAGATCAAGGCCAAAGGAAGTAAAATTGATACAAACAGCATGTCTGTACATTTGCCAGGAGAAGTGGTTTTCAGCACGAGAAGACATTCAAAATAACACATCGTATATTACACAGGACAATGAAGAAATTGAAATGGCATGCTTGGAATGCAAGAAGTATTCCTTGCACATTGAAACATGAATTGCCCCTCTGCAAATAGATATTGGAATCTAACACAGCACAAGATTAAGTTACCTCCTTTCAGTTTCACATTTTTCATCAAATTCCACCTCAAAGTAAGTTGCCCCATGACATAGGAAGACTGAGACCTCATGGCAATTATTTTCGTAGTTATGAGGCGATTCCATCGTCCACGTTCGCAATACTACAGGCTGTTCTTGCTGCCAGCTTTCCATTTCCATCTGTAGAACAAAAATGCATTCTTGAGATACAGATGTGAAGCATTTAAAAAAATAAAATTACCACACTACATTTTTGTGTCTATAATTTCAAGTTGCCAGATGTACATACAAGGTGGCATTTAAGAGGTTACAGCACTGATTTACACCTGAACTAGTTATAAAGACCCCCTTGATAATCATGGCAGAAGCACTTCTAAAGCAAAATCCATCTAGTCTACCAGGGGAGGAGACAGTCTCACCCCAGAAGAGCCTACAAGTCTCCAATGATAACAAAAGAGAGTCTGGATGACTAACGCAGATTTAAAACATCTACACTACAGACATCCAGACTTTATTTGCATCACCACATGCAATGAAGCTAAAAATGTTAAGCATGTACAATTTTTAATTTATTTTCCTCTTTTATCCTCAGAATCCCTCCTTCCTATCTACCTTCTAGGCTTCTCATTCCAGTTGAACTTCTGGTCACTTCGCTCATCTTCCATATCAGTACAGATATATTTCTAGTTCTTCACTCAGTATTTCATTACACATCCCATGCTTTCAGATGCTTTCCAGCTCCTTTAAAATGCTCACCAATAGAATCATCTGAGTTTTCTATGTCTTTCTTGCAATTTTGCTTTTGCTTCACTGTACCTAATAGTGCCTGTATCATTAGTTACCTTATGAGGCTCACTACAAAGGCTTTTCAGTGGTTCTATCAAAGTGCTGAATCCCTGTAGCAGAGTACAGTATGGAATGTCTAAAGTGCAAAAATCCAACAAGAAGATGACCTAGGAGAAAACACAGGTCTCGTGAAAATGCATGTAACCGTAGCCATGCTACCCGGGAATAGTACAAAATCCCAATGTACACTTACCAGCTGACGAGTTGCCATAGCAAAGACAGAGTTACTTATTTTTTCTACTATTGTTTTGCCACTATATTGAGATAAAAGTGACTGCAAAATCGTTCTGATATTTGACAGGAACTGGCCCACATCTAAAGAGAAAAAAAACCCTTAATAGCCACCTTATGGATTCGCTACCACAACCTGCTTTATCAAACACTTAAGTGCATGGTGATGTGCACAAGAAGAAAGACAGCAGGAAAGGCATCTGCTGCCCCAAGGCAGTGACACTCAAGAGCAAAAACAGTTCAGAGAAGTTTTCTGTGATACCTCTATTGTGGAAACAAGTCATGCTTATCAACGATATTTAAAAAAAAGAGGAGTGATGAGTAATTTAATCAAACACTCCAAGATTGCTTCAACAATCTCAGCGTATCAAATAGCCTCCTCTCTGTGTAAGCTTATGTGCAGCTTAAGTAAGAAATGAGGCTAGCAATTTTTAGCTATAGCCTTACTCCTCTTTAAAATGTGAGACAGGAACACAACAAACTTATTTATACACAAATAACATAAATATGAAGTAATTTTACATAAAATTACATTTCCATTATGTACTTGGCCCAATTAACTACTCAATACTGAGCTGCTGCATTAAGAAAAAAAAAAACAAAAAAAAAACCTGTAGCAAAACACCCCTTAGAAGTGTCCAGCTTCTTAAGTTCCTTTCTTCTTGCTATTACAAGCATCTAGGAAAATATATACCACCACACAGAAGCTTATCAAAATAAGGGAAATTTGAAGAAACCAAAATGTTCACGTGAAAGTCTGTAACTTTCTGTTTTCTGAAGATTCTCTCAACATAAAATTATCAGTAGGGTTAAAATTGTAAGTTGCTCAGTATGCCTACAAATTCCTTTCTAGAGACGTTAGAAATGCTATGACAGTTATGAGCATGCCTCAGGCAACCACTGATGAACCCTTATTATACTGCAATTTGCAAAATCACATTTTAAAGTCCTGTATTACACCACATCTAATTCTGTATTCAATCCCAGCACTTACAGTTTTTAAGTATTTCTACAGCAAGATCCTTGGCTGAATTATCACTACTCTTAAGTTGCAGGTAGCACCATGAAAGGAGGCTACCTTGAACAGACCAGAATAAGGAAGACAAGACTGTGCCACTCTCTTGCTGTGCAACATCCAGCATCATCATTTCACACTGAAAAATAACAAATGTAACAAAAGGTTATCCTCTTCTGCTGCAGAATGACACACAATATGTACTAAGTAAACTGTGATGGACATTATCATCCCACTCACCCCATAAAAAAGCTTAAATGCAACTGACAAGCAGCGTGTAACACCATGAAGCAACTAATGTATTTTGTTGTGATAAATCACAATCTTAAGTAGGAATAGCTACATATGAGTCACTCAATGTTCTCAGCACATTTTTTCTGCATATGTAAATGACTCTCCTCCATTTACACCTCCTTTAGTGGCATGACCAGTTCTAACCTCTCAATATGGGATGATTACTTCTGTTTCCTAGTGTTGATAGGGTGCCATAAAGTCTTTTCAATGCTATGGAAAAATTCCTCATCTTATACATTAGTTACTCTACTATTATGAAATGTTAATGCTTAAAGGAAAATATTTCAATTGGTTGGAAAACCTAATCCTACAGAGTTGAACAGCTATGAATAGTTTTACCCAGAAGAACAGGAAAGCTAGTTCTTTAGCATCCATCTCAGGCATGCAGCTTGTCTTTGAATGCTTACAAAAATCACGGCAAAGAAGTAGGAAGGGAAACAGTGCAAAGACAGTTACCTCTCTTGCTGCCACTAGCAGAAGGGTGTCCATGACTGATAGCACTTCACTTATGTCAAAATTTGCAGAAACTCCTTTCTCTGGTAATAGTAAGAGTCCACCTGGATCTTGATCACTACAAAACAAAGATCATCTTACTAACCAATAACAAGTAGCACAGTTCCAAAATATAAATTTAGTTATCCTTGTGACAAATCTGTAGAGATCCTACTGTATTATTACTACGAAAATCAAAAGTGTTTGGGTTCTGATGACTCCAAACTTGGTTATATCAATACCAACCAACACCATGGACAAACAATCACTTAAAAAATTGGAAAAGAGCCTAGGCTGAGCAGTATACTGTGATTTCAGCACCAACTGTTATCCTTGGACAATGTTTTACATAGCCATTAATAAACATATTAAGTAGTGGTATTCTCCTTTCTAAAGCAAAGTCCGTTGATTATTTTTGAGAGTTATTTTCCAGAGGAATAACATTTCTAAAAAGGATTAAAAATGAACTTATTAACAGATGTGGGGTATCAGACAATTATTTTCAATTTCAAGACCCCTTACCTGAAGTGAGTACACAAGGATCTGAAGGCAAGACGTACAGATTGTTTATGTTCTTGCTCTGTGATGTTTTTCTAGAAAAGGAAAAAGATTTATTTTTATGATATGTTCTGTTTCCCTCCTCTGTGAGAAAGAATTATAATTTCTGTGGTCTACTATTCATTTTGGTAAGAAAGGCAGGGTTAGCTCCTCTTTCTTTGAATAAACTGCAGAGAGAGAGAAGGGGGGGGTAAAAAGAGGCAAAGAAAAGAAAAATAACGTTTTTACTTTAATGGGACAAAGTATGAAATACTTGACAACAAGAACTCAGATTTGTCGCCTTTTCTCCATAAAGAAAGCAGGTACTAAACAATCAATTTCTCATTTAATTGTTTACCATCATGGTGAAGAGCTGGTGTCGCCTGGTCTGTCTATCTGGGAAAAAGATTGCTGCTCCACTGAGTAAGGTGTTCTTAACTTCCTCTTTTAGCATTTTCACTGGCATGAAGTTACTGTCCCCCATATCCACTACTGCTCATACAGAAAGGAAACAAAATTACAAGTTCAAATTAATACTCCGTCTAATACGTTAGAGGCATAATTCAATTAAATGTGTTATTTTACACAACTTCAACTCCTTGCAACCCCATTATACATATAGAAAGTGAGGGGAAACTTTTTGACTTCTAGCAAGAAAGATTTTTCTAAGGATATATTTGTTCATTGAGTAAATTAATTCTAGGAACATTAAGACTTGACAACTATCAAAGCTAATAAAGTTTTCAAGATGTGACAGATTCTATATAAACTATATCTCCAGCTTGCTTTTCAGGAGACTGTTAGGTAATTAACAAAAAATTACACTTGAATAAAGAGGGTACCATCCTACTTCCAATGAAATCTAATGTGTAATTCCCATTCTCTTCACTGGCTCCAGAATCTTCCCCGTGTTTCTGTAAACCTTACGGGCTCCTTGTAAGATCATTTATATTTATATGAAATACCAGAAATAAATGAACCCCAGTAAGATTATAGTTAAAGGATCACATTCCCTCCTGGTTCAAGCACGTTCGAAAGAAGTTTTCTATTGCAGCTGTTTCCAGACCACATGTTGTCAGGAAGTCTATAAAAACATTTCATAGGGTCAAGGAAAATTTCACTGTGATAGACTAATTAGCACACACTGACCTGAAGAAGAAACAAAGGAACAGTAGCTGACTTGGCCTCTAGGAATAAGTATTTTTTCCCAAAATGTAACTATTGTAACACACTTGTAAGCCAGAACAGCCATAACAATTAATATATTCAATGTAAATTACCTTCACACAAATGTTTATAAAGCTCTTCTGCAGCTTCTGTGTGACCACATGTTTTGCTCTGAGAAGTTTCTTGAGGCTTAGCAGTTTTATTGTCTCCAGTAAGTACAGAGAAGCAGCTCTGGAGAAGCTGCAATAGCAGTGTTTGAGCAAAGATGCATTCTTCCCTTGGGCTGTAAGAAAGCATAAAACAAACAGAAGCTAAAACTAGAAGAAAAGCTCTTTTGCACCAAATAGATAATGCTATGAAAGTCACTATCTCAGATGGATAAAAAACACTGAGTAGAGAGCACATAGCCAGAAAAAGTATAGCTACCAGCTAAATTAATCTACATCTCAAGCTTCTACATAACATTATAGTTAAAAACACATACGGCAGCAGTAGGAAAATGTTATTTATGTAAATGATGCCGTTTGGGAAGAAGAAACTGCTGCAACTAAACTAAGCATACTTTATTTATATATACACACACAGATTAGTGCTTCACCACACAGTAAAGAAGTTACTTACTTTTGGTGAAGTTTATTGTAAAAATTCCAGAACAGCTGCAAATCAAGGCCTGTGAAATCTAAAAATGACTTGTATTTTAATCCACTCTCCTTCTGTTGAACCTTAAAAAGGCAAAGAAAATGCAGGATTGGAAAATTAACTCTATACAGAACACATTTATAAAAACTAAATCCCTGAGCACTGGGCTTAAAGCAGCCTGATTTCCTATAAATTTGCAGCTAACATGAATTCCAGCATAAGTTCTTTCACGGATATTCCGGTGTCTAAATGTGACAGTTCGTGCTGAAATCTTCCCCTTCACAGAGCTACTAATAAGGACTCTCTCTCCTCTTCCCAGATGTCTAGTCCCCCATCCCTGTCCTCCTCCACCAAAAGACTTTACAACCTCTACCTCCTGATCTAATTTGATTGAAAGTAAGGAATAGCCAAAAGGAGACTGCCCATGGTTCAGAATCAAAGTTGAAAAGGCACAGATGCATGCACTGCATGAACATGGTTTTGACCCGTATCCTCAGAAGTAGGGTACATCATGCTGACATACATCAGCACAGACCAGCCATCTCTCTTAACTGTACACGTCTCACCCTAGATATTTATAGAATTATTTCAGATAAAAAGAGGACATGTTTTAATCTATGCAACTTTTCTAGCTAAGCACTTTTCCCCATGCTTGCTTCAGAAATAGCTACATTATCTAATAGAGCACCCTTCTGTTGCATGTACTTCACCCAGCGTTGCAACCTGATGCTGAAAAATGCTGCTTAACTCTCTCCTAGACCCAAAGTGAGCATATTCCTAGTCAACTTCAGTAAACATACACAGAATGCTATTTTTCCGAAACCATTTTTTATCTCCACAGCATGGTTTTAACAGTTACTAGTACCTAGCAGCAAGACTTTTCTTTATCCACTCACAATTACTGTTAGCATAGCCTTATTACTTTTAGCATGGTAAATACACACTTAAAAAGAACTAAGAAGTAAAAATACCAGGTCCTGCGCCAGCTGCTGGATGAAATGAAGCGTCTTCAGGAGAAGAGTTGTGCCACAAACTGTATCGTCATCTGTTTTCCTGCACTGCAAGCAGTTCATGCTCCTATTAGGCTCATCTCGCATAGGCCGAAGATAGCCAAGAACATTCAGGCCTTGAACTCCGAGACGTTCTGCTGTGTCCTGTCTTGTGCACAAGAACTTTATCATCAAGTACTAGAAGGATACAAACAGAGCACAAGATTTGGTTTTAAAAGTTAGTACAAATCTGGCTTTTAAAAGACATGAGTGCACATATGTGAGGAGACTGCAGGTGGGGTGGGGGGGCAAGCCTTATTCCCTGTCAATCACCCCCAAAAGTTTAAAATACTAAGCCTGAGATTCAGGCTAAACTTGAACTCTCCCCGCATCCAAGAAAGTCACAGTGATGGTTCTGTGACCTCCATAAGCATCTGTAAAGTTAGTTAATTCATTATCAGTTCCATTCATTCTGCATACTCTGTTCCTTGGCTCTAGAGTTACAGCATTTTGCAGGATAAAAAAGTTATTAGCTGCACTTAAAAGCAAGCAAAGGATCAATGTGTAATATTTAAAACATACTTTTATGTGATCTGTCCACAGTGAGGTACAGAACGCAAAGCTGAAGGGAACAGCAAGTTCCGCCATCCAAAGGTACTTAGTAACTCTGCACACCCCTATGTCTCAGGGACTAAGGGTTACACAGACAACAGCAGAATGTCTTAGCAAGCAGTGATGGTTTTAGAAAAATTCCCAGTTGATTTATAACTGTGCCACCACTTCTGCTAATTTCCACAGTACAAAAAAGGATTGGGGAACTATACAACAGCTGACTCCAACAAACAAGATAAATGCTGGATCTGAAAAGCAAAGTTTCCTACTTAAGCACTGCAAATCAAAACCCATATTCTGCCACTCTTGATACAGAAAAGTCCCACGTTCCTCAAGGAAATCAACCTAACTGATGGAACTGCTTAGTAATTGTTTGTCCTTTAAAACAAGGGTTGAAGAACCTGGTTCTGAAAGAATAAATGCTATAACTATGCAGAAGTTAATTTGTCTAGATATTAGAATAAAGCAACAATCATATCATCCTTTTTAGAATTACTTCCTCATGATAAAACCAGTAGTCTGTGCATTATCACGTAATTTTGCATTAAATTTGATCCTGAAGCTCAATTTAACTACAGCTATATACGTGTACATACACAGAAAAAGAATAAAACTCAGAGGACAAAAGTTGAATCATTCGTTTAACTAGAAGCCCATTGATTTTCACCTCTACCCAGAAGAGTTCTCCTTGCACAAAAAAGAGTTATGTTTATTTCAGTTGGCATTACAAGAAAGCACAGAAATTAGCCTCTGCTCACTGTGACTGGGCCAATGAATTTTCATGGTTTCTTACTTGGGAAATTCTGCATTGCTGCATTTTGACATCAACTTCATCCCATTCTTCTTCCACTTCAAACCAGCCAATAGGATCATCATCCCCCAAATCATCACACGAACAAATGCTTCTGTGTATAAAAGAATGTAACAAACTTTGTAAAGAAAAAGTTCAAAGGAACCGCAAAGCTGTTGATATTCTACCAAAATATTTTTAGCATGTTATGGCTATAAAGATGAGAAAAGAAACAACAGAAACTTTCACATACCCAAGCTCTATCACATGCAAGGTAAGAAAATTAAGGCAATCTTTTTAGTCATAGTCCCTAACCTCCCCTCACTCCTAAGCAACAGTTCTGAGAAAGTCATTTAATAAAAGCTAATTAACATATGATCTTCCTATAAATTGTTTCTGTTATCAGTGACCTGCACCTCAAGTAGAACGTTTGTTTTGTTATAATCCTTTTTAAACAGGCCTTTAAATCAAGAGGTTGAGAACAACAGCTATATACATATTGTCTCAAACACAACAAATTGAGGCTCATTAAAATCAATCAAGTAACAATTAAAGGATGCGTCATTTTTAAGTCATTTGGAACAATTCTCAGTGGTGGCATTGCAAAAAGATCTAATATAACATTTATTTTCCATGTATTCATTATAAAAATTCCACCTATACCTGTTTTTTAAAAATTGTTTGAATTCCCGCAGCTTCCATTTGTCATAGCTTTCAAATCTTTTGAAGTGCTCCTCTGCGTGGAACTTTTCCGAAACACTATTGTAAGCGAACACCAGCCCACACTGGGCCCCAATGGCACCTCTTCGGACCTAAAAGAACAAATCCAGAGCAACGTATTAAAAAGTTGACAATAAAAGAAGGTGTTGCTTTCACAGAAAAAACAGTTATGGAAAGCAACTAAATACTGACAATACTGATCTCTGGAACTGCACAGAAAAATGAAACACATTAGAGAAGTGTTATGAAAACTTTTGTAGCCCATTGAACCAGCATCATGTACATGGTTAATATTTGCTACATTTATCACCCTGCTAGCACCCTAACATTAACTAGAGTTCCACATATTAATTCTCATTCTAATTTTGTATACTTTTTTATTTAAAAAAAAAAACACCACAACCTAAAATTATGTATCCCAGTACCACTACACTGCAAAACAGCTTAGCTGCCTCTCCAGCTCCAGTTAGAATTTACTTGCCAGAAGTCCATCCATGTTTAATTCTCTTTGACATTGAAATCCAGGAATTAAACTACTGCTTTGCCTCAGATAAATAAATTCAGCTGCTGAAATCTCACTGAAGTTTTGTCCTGCTCGTGAGATTTAATCACAAGATCTTGCTTTTAAACCAGATAAAAATCACACTAAATGTTCAAATTACACTGGTGTCTCTAAAAAGAATTTGGAAGACCTACATTTAATCTGAACTCACATGCTACGTATCTTGAAACCTGCTATTCACAGGGTCAAAAAATTATTTTAAATATAAGATCTTACATATAAATCCATACCCTTTAGAGAGAAACCATACACCTAAGAGTCACTGGCTTGAGTATATTACAAGATATAGACAAAAGCAATATAAAATAAATGTCTTTACTACATGCTTGTGGCACCCTGGAACAATTTAAGACCTCCCTTTCCTTAAGCTCCCTGTGACTTACACTAAAGTAAAACCCTAAAATAACACTATTTCATGATGAATTTAAAATTTCAGTTCATACAAAAAAAATTCTAATTCAACTCTACCACTAGGGAAAAAAGCAAGCCTTCTACTTCAAAAGCATACAGGAACTACATACCTTTATTCTAATTTGTGTCACCTGAAATGAAGATTCAGTTCCAGTAGAAAGAATGATACTTGCTCTCGTTTTCCCAGTTTCAGTAAGAAAACCTAAAGCAGCAGTGAGAATAGAATGAAGTTGGAAGGACTGCTAGTGCAAGCTGTTTGAAAGAGAGTACTAAGATTGTGGACTAAAGGGGAGAAAACAAAAACACAACACCTTTCTAGTGAAAAGCTCATTAGTAAATGTTTCCAAATAAAAGAGTAAGAGACAACTAAAAAGACTGTATTATGTTAGTATACGCTCCCACAAGAGTATACACAGATCTCTCCAGCCAATGTCTCTCTTGGGACTGCATTATCTGCAGCAGTTTCCCGAGTGTTTCCCCATTAAAGGTTATTAGTAACTCCCAAATATTACTTTGGCTTGTGGCTCTATTCACTGATATAACTCACTGTTCCCCAAACTGTGATCCATAAAACAACAAAAGACAATCCACAAAATAACTAAAAAATAAACTGAAACAATACACACGAGCAAACAGAGGCGGAAAATAAGCATCTAGAATGTGCCTGATTTTCTGTCACAACAGCTTTTATTTACCAGTAGCACTGCACCAGACAATACACAATTTTTTTTAGTAATGATTAGGTGGCATTTCACTTAAAAAGGAGGTCAAGAAACACAAATTTCTTTGTTTAGCTTGTATCCAGTACATAAAAACATTGCATTAACAAAGACAGGCTTTAAAGGAGAATTAATAGTAAAGTGCAGTCAGTGAAAATTTCAATTATTTCTACTATATCTCTCCATCAATATTTGGGAAACTACCAGTGAATGATTCATGACTTCAACCCACAAAATGTGCTCTAGTATAATTTTCTTTGTGACAGCTCATTGCTTACTTCCATGTAGAATATCAGCAACTCTCCCCAAAATCCAATCTTTTTTTTTGGTTGTTTTGTTTTAATAATAAACTGGCTCCTGAGAAATCCACCTTGTTGTAAAATAGAACTTACATATTGTTTTGGTTCGGTTTTTTGGTTTAGGTTTTTGGTTTTTATTGTTGCTGTTGTTTTGCTTTGGTTTTGGGTTTGTTGTTTTTTTTTAATTACAGACCTTCCATATCATAAAACTGTTGAGTAGCACCAAATATATATAAATATATATGGAACAGCACCACAGCCTTGTTAACAGCCTTTGTGTCTGGTTGAGTATTCTGGATTTTAAGCCCCGGCTCTTACCATCCCCAGTCCATGGCTCTACAAGGAGATTTTCAGGCCCTGATTTATCTTCTTTTCCCTTTACATCACATGCTTGCAGAGTTAGCCGTAAGGGTTTTCCTAAGTAAGAAAATCAAAAGGTTTATCAAATTCATTAAAAAAAAAGAAAAATGTGCTTTCTAAAGTTCTTCGTACAGAAAACAAATGGAAAAAATTACAATACTATGAGATTTTTACCATTGTCAGACCATAAAAAAGGGGGAAGAAACTGGAGTACAAGAGATACATTAATCTAAAATAGCTCAAGTTTTAGATACAGACAGAAGGACAATGAAAAGCATGACAACTAATGTTCCTTCAACTGTTTGCACGCTTTGGAATTCACAATACATGAAATACCACTCTTGTCTTACAAAAAGCAGCAGCTACTCTGGGAAAAATGAAGCAATTTTCAAAACTTTTGAAAATAAATACTGATATTATAAAATAATTAATGTGTTCTTTGGCACAAGCCAAGAAGTCCTGACAAAACATATTAAAAGGCAAACAAAGGGAAAAATTCTTCATGAGAGACTAATGATAACCTCAGAAGTTGACACCTGAGAAAATACAGATTTAATCAAACACGTACAGTCCATGCAGCAAAATCTTACCACCTTATGCCGGATCACACACAGCTCTACACTTACGATATACTCAGATTAATTTATAAAAGTGAAAATAAAATAACTGTAAATAGATGCTCATGACATTACATTTAAAACACATCTTAAATTTGTGCACGTCTGCACGAGAGACCACTTACTGAGGCTAAACATACAAAAAACGTGTTATTGGCAGAATAAAAATACTTTATGTCATTTGCCTTTTATACAAGACAAACACTATCACCATCTTGATATAGGGGCCACTGTCTACAAAGTTCATGTTTTCTCCCTCAAGATGATGCCACCTGGTTCAATTCTTCGATCACAGAAAGCTGATCTAATCACCAACTTTTAGGGCAGTTCTTGGTAACCGTTGTTAATTTAGAAGTCTTAAGTATGTACAGTAAAGGATCCAACAATTATTCATTTACCATATTTATACAGCAGGTTCTGTCTGACTGTTGCCATGGAAGCGATAAGGGATGAAGCCTTGTACGGAGTGTCCAGATGATCAGTGATCGTACAAAGGGAACTTATCACTTTAGCGACACTCCCCCTGGCTAAGGCAAAGGCCAAGAGTGTAAGTTCAACCTCTGGAGTAGTACAACAACTGGGGAGGGAAAAAAACAACAGTATGAAAAGAAAACTCAGGACACTTTTTAAATAAAGACAAATAATGATGCTCACATGGAAAAATCTACGGTGCCTGTTTCTTAATGTCTTTGAATTTTTCAAGATACTAAAAAAAGAGCAGGTGAGTAAAAATGAGATAAATTTGCTATACAAATTCTTCTAAACCATTTTCCACCGCATGAAAATACATCAGCACAAACTTACCTTGTTATTCTTATAAGGAAGCTATCTACTTCTTCCAAAACATTTGGAGATAAGAAGCTTGAAAAATCTGTAGAGCCTGGTGTTAGGGATAGAGGTGGCATGTGTTGCAGCGCTTTCCTAGTAAAAAGGACAGGACACAACATCAGAAAACCAGACAGAATTGGAGAAAACAGCCTTCTAAAATGAATTAGACATTTGAATCTTCATGCTTTTTGCGAGTAAGTCTCTACAAATAGCCTCTGAGTGCAGAAAATGTATTTACACAAAGAATCTCTTCAGAAGGTAAAAACAGTATTGCATTCTAGGCAGACAAAGTTCAACGACTGCTGGGTAATCCTGAATCTAGTCTCATAATCTCAGATTTAATGAGACAAATAAATCAAGGGGTTTTGAATTAAATCTGTGACAGCATTAGAAATAGCTTAGGGTCCAAGTACTACTTCATTTTAAATAGTTCTAGAATTGAGCAAGAGCCTGTTAATAAAGGGAAAATTGGTTTTAAATTCTTTCAGAACAATTACAGAAACTGAGAGAAACTTGTTAGCTCAGATCAGAATTTTTGTTTGATTTCCGAAGATAATGAAATAATCCCTGAAAATAGGGATTCTTAAGCGGTTTCATCAAAGTCATTCTATCCAATATTAAAGTTTGGGGTTTTTGCTTTATAATTGCAAACACTGAATTTGTAATTCCTGAAAGCATATTTTTAGTCAAGATTTCTCTGTTATACCTTTTTTAAGCTTTATTAGCTCAGTATTCATGTTATATTTCTAAAAGATATCTAAACTGTAGCAAAACTGAAGGCCCTCAGTTTTAGTAAAGCTTGCAACTATGAACCTTCCTCAGACGTAAGCATGTATAAAGTTATCTAAACTAAAGAGGATTCATAGATGACACAAATTAAAAGATAGGCTTAATGGACTTTAGCCTACAGTATTCATTAACCTAATGACAGCAGTGCTCTTAAGCATAGTGGCATCACGCTAACTAAGCTCTATAAAAGTTGATGTGGGTGTGTAGCGATTTTATTAGGATTCCAATCCTTCAAGTCATCAAGAAGTGCTTGGCAGTTAAACAAGGAAATGTTACACAGAAAACAGCCAATTGCCACAAGCAAACATCTGCACAGAGATATTGCATATACCCAACTATATCTCCATGTAATGCGTGGCAAGGCATTACACAAGCACAAATTTGCTGAAAATTAAGCTAAATTAAGCTCCAGTCATAAGTGGAAGGTGTCCAATATTTATAATCAATAAAATTAACAATGAAAATTAATTAATTGTAGGCTTCTCAAAATTATTACAAGTCAAAGGATAGATAAAAAACCCATATTTTTCAGTGTCTGTTCAGTCATGGCTTAACAATTAGGTTAGATACAACAGCTAAGAGAATTACACTTGTTCTAGTATGTGCAAATGGATAAGAGAGAAATATCAAACTTTAAACAGTGCGATAGCTAAAAAGATGTTTAAACACCTTAATGGACGGAGTGGAAACCAGTTACACAAGGTAGATTAGTTTACTAAAGCTGGAAGTATTTAAAAAAAAAAATTAAAAAAACCCCCACACACCATGGAAGTTTGGTACTTACTGAGTATTTTGTAAAATAGTGTGAACGAATGCTGGATTTGTTTCCATGGAAGCTGTTACCAGAGAGGTCAGGAGAGACCAGTACCAGATAGCCGAAGCATCGCATACGGAGACGCCCACCTTCTTAACTCTTTGATAACCAACAGCCCTGAGTCCATGGATTCTAGTGTCACATCCATCACTAAGGCAACGCTTGATGTTTATCTGTACATCTGTCAAAACACAAAATAGAATTTTTTTCCCATTTCTTCTGCTGGATTAGATCTAGAAGAATCCAGATATTCAAAACAACAATTACTGCAAAACTTCTTAGAAAAATAGCAGCAGATATGTAACAGTACTCCCACATACAGACAACTATACACACGTACTTCTTCACCGTGCACCCTACGACTTGGAAAATTTAGCCTTTGAATGGCCTACGTAATGCATTACATATTGTACAGCTAGAAACCAGGAAAAAAGTAGTAAAAGACCCTCAAATAGATTACAGATTATTTCACTAGTACCTTTTTACCTACATACATAGGAAGTATCTTGGGAGTGTAGTGGAGAAGATAAGGAAAAAGAGTAAAGCCTTAAAGCAAATTTTTGAGTTACATAAAAATTTTCACATAAGTTCTTGGCCATTTTGCATAGCTGACATTGTCCTAGTTACTTTTGAGGAAAAACATCCTTGCTGCCCGCTTCTGTGGCAGTGAAAGCTCAGCTTAGTGAAGAGCACCTATTTGAACTGAAGGGACAAAATTTCTGAAGCTGCAGAAACCATCTTAGGAAGGAGCAGCTTTCCTCTGACTGATTCCAATATAGCACCCACAGATCTACCAGACTTAAAAATAGCACTACTTAAAAATCTTTAGCATAAAACCTGCTTTACAAAAATCATCTGACCAACTTCAGAGTTTTGCTACCAGAAAAAAAAAAAAAAAAGAGCTGCTTAGAAGCAGATTTTTTGCTAGATACTATTATCCAACATAGGCTTTCACTCTGCAAGCAAAGATATTTTAAAATTGCCCAGTGCCTTCAAATTGAGAGACTAAAACTGCATCTTTAGTCATTCTAGCTCTTCAACCCTTAGCCCAAGTTAGACAGATGCCACGAAAAAGACTCAGAAGACACTCTTATACGCTAGAAATTAAACTACAGTTAAAACAATTTCTCTGACCCAAGATCAAAAGTTTCTGCTCTAATGATTGACATTTCAACACATCATTCTATGATCTACCCAAACTTTCACCTTCAAAAAAGCAGCAAAACAATACACCAATGGTATCTTTATTGACTCACACATCTGACTAATGTTAGCGTTTTCCAACAGTGTTACGTAGCCAGTGATATTGCTTGGAATGTGAACATCTCGGACCTCCTGAAGACTGCTGGCATTCCTTCCCACTGCCACTGTAACTTGCTGTGGCATGTAACTCTGGTCAGTAGCTGCCACCGCAATGGACAGATGTCTCAAAACCACATCTGGTTTCATCTTTAAACTGCAAAGCACAGAAGATAAAATAGTTCTTGCAAAAAGAAGGTAAGTCAGGCACTTCACTTTTAGCTAAGCTGCACTCAGTTTCCACTTCTACAAACACAAATAAATCCACTAAAAATTACCTAATGCTTCACAGGCGTTACCAACCCCATATCATGGTGGATGAGTTAGAAAACTTGTAACTGACTTAAAAGACAGTCACCTCTGATAGTGAGAATGTAGAATTTTCTGTTGTCCAGCTTTTCAACTGAGAATGCATTCCTCAGGAATATAAATGCACTGTCAATAATGACCAAAATGAGATTTTTTTTTTTTTTTTTTAGAAGTATACATTCTACACATACTACCAAAAAAACCATAAGCATTTCTGTTTCATGGAGCAGTAACTTTCTAGACAGTGGCAAAGTGCTTCTATTTGAATACTAAACACTGCATCTATAACACGGTTTGGAAAGCTTAGCTACAAAACAAGGGTCAGCATGGAAAATGCATGCATTTTACAGGTGAACCCTTTTCCCTGGTGATGAGGCTTTTAAACTTCATGCAGAGATTAATGACTTCTGTTTTCAACTATATTCATCTGTCACTCACTAATTCCACAATTTTTTTCAATTACACCCCACTAGCTGTAAAACCTAAAGACTAACTACCCCAAAACTCAGCTGTATATTGCTGTGTCACTACCGTATCCAATGTGAGCGAGCACTCCCATCCGACTGCCAGAAGGATGTAGTTTCTCCATTTGTCATCTTGTCAATATCGGCGGAATTGGATGAGGTTTCTATGTGAGTATAGCACTTTGTGACAGACTTCAGTTTGTCCGACTCCTGATTACCATTCAAGTCACTGGGGTATTCTGCAAAGAAAAGAAATCACTCATAACATTCTTCTTTTGCGTGTTTTTGAGAATAGTTATACCTTTATAATAATTATCTCATGTAAATTAACTTGTTGGCACAGAACGCAGCTCCTGAAGAAGTGTTTCTGACAGAACCTAAAAGACAGCAAAGTTTCATTTCAGAGGAAATCACAATAATCTCAATCTACCACTTGCAGTATGAAAACACCTACTTTGCCTGGAGTTCAATAGCCTTTATCTCCTCCTTTCATTACTGGCCTCATCAGTTCTTTATCATTATTATGTCAAAATACAAACAGATAAGAGGAAAAAGTAAAATACGATGGAGAAAACCTCAATTCAGCTACTCTAGGAAAGGGACAAAGCAGACTGTTTCCCCAAGTAACTTGATCTATTTCAACAGAAGTGCAGAGATCTGAAAATATCAAGTCAAGCTGTGAAGAAAAGGAGCCCTCCCCTCCAGGGAAACAACCAGGACAGTCCCATCTGAAATACAATAAAAGATTCGCTACCTCCATCCCAAAACAACAGATTATTTTTTTAATACTGAACAGTCAACTTCAGAAAACATTCACCTTCATATGGAAACTAAGTTTCCAGCAACTAGTGAGATATTTGACTGAATAAAGAATATTGCAAATTAGTAATTATCATTCTGAAACAGGTCAGGAGAAAGATGAAAAACATCCCAGTGTGTTACTCAGATTGCTAGGCAGTTAGGAAATCAATTTACGTGCCTCAAAAAACCAACAAAAAACCCACAGAAGCATGCAGATCTTCATAAAAAGTCTTGCCTGTTAAAGATTAAACAGTAAAGAAAGCGTTTTATTTTATCTGTAATCTCTTCTTCAAGCTATGGTTACACTACCATCCCGAAAAAAAAGAAAGATATTACATACCTCTCTCTTTTAGGAGAAGTCGATCTAAAGAATCCTTCAATACAGAAGACCGCATAGTACAGATATTGTTGAAGTACTCCAACACTGGGTAAGGGATGGCAGTACTAGAAATCCGATTGCGGTGCAAGAATCTCAGTATCATTGAAGCATGAAGACCAAGACGCTCTTTTGATTCGGAAAATATATCAATAAAACCTAGAAAGAGACATTATTTCTATCTGCAACATCTGACTTGACCAAGTCATCATTTTCCCCCTCTACATCTTATTACTAAGTAAATGCAAATTAAGCATGGGAGTCAATATTGGAACTACATTCCACCATATGAAGTAGCTCAAGTTTGCAACGTTCACAGGACTGTGAAAGGTGCAGACAAATATTTTTGCCAGTTACTTGAAATGCCTGAAGAGGTTCAAAAAAAATCACCAAAAATCTTAGTTCTTATGCTTATTTTTCTGTCCCAAAAGTTCCAAACCCTTACCTTCGATATCTAGGTGAAACATGCTGCTTGGCTAACGAGCTGATGCACTCACATCACTCACCTTAAGCTACGCTAAGCATCTCACTTTGGCATTGTGGATTATTGCCAAAGCGGTGCCTAATGCTTTCCACAAACTTCCTAAGAAATTTCAGCTCCTGAGCAGTGGTACTCTGAATCACAGGGCATTTAGATGCATAGAATACTACCGCGTAAGTACTCTCCTCTGAGTTATCTATTCCTCCTGAGCAGTGGTACTCTGAATCACAGGACATTTAGATGCATAGAATACTACCGCATAAGTACTCTCCTCTGAGTTATCTATTAGCCACTTCTAACACTTCTTGTCTGATCCTCTAACGCAAATCCCCTTTAGCCACTTATCATCAAAAGCTTGGAAGGAAAGCCAGTAACTGATACTTATCCCAGAAGTCAAATTCTGGAAACTGACACTTTCCAAACTATACGCTATAAAACATGAATTATGTTTTAGCAGGAGTTCAAATGCTAAATAACAATATAATAACAAGAAACTATAGGACTTATCAGCTGAAACAGACTCAATGGAGGATTTATTCCTCCAGTTAGTAAGTACAAGACTGCATTAGTTAGGCACTTGCGAAAATTTTGCAAGGAACTGTTTTCTGTCTGTAAGATAAACCAAAAAGGATAAGAAGCTTCCCAGTCACACAGAGAAGAAAATATTGGTTATTTATGGAAGTAAGTCAGCTGGATGTAATTATGGGAAATTTTTAATTTACAGCAACTTCACTTGTTTGATACTAGAGAAGCGAAAACGACGTGGACTGTGGTTTTGAGAAGATTAGGACAAACAACACTATTAAAGTCATTTATTGAAGTAGCACTCCTTATATAGGGCAGGACTTGGGAAACCGTTTGTTTTGTCACTCTGTTCTCATACCTGGAACTAGTGAACAAGCTTGCAGTTGCCTGATTACATGGCTAAGCTCCCCTTGAAGATTAGCTCCACTGGAATTCTTGAGAGCCTCCAGCATATTCTCCACATCTACGGTGCCATCTCCTTCAGCATCAAATTGTGCAAAGGCCTGAAGAGGAACAAAAAAAGAAAATTTATTTCAGCATATTTACTTCAAGCAGAAATTCAAGGTATTTTGTAGAAACCGTAGCAGTAAACATTATAACACCATTAAATAAAAATCAAAAGACCTCATTTTCCGTAGTATTGAATTTATGACAACAGGAAACAGCCTGGCTGGAAATCTGCAGACTTTAGCAAGTTTTAAGGCATTTGCACTGCCTTCCTATAAAAGTCAACTGTAGTTATGCTTAGGTGGAGACAGCACATCATCTATACCAGTGAATCAGCAGTATCCATCCACCCAACATCTGCGACTATGAAGGTGCTCACAAAAGAACACTAGAAAGCTCTTCCATTAAAGGGTGAGTTAGTTCTAAAAGCCAAACCATCCATTACTCTTTACCGCTGCATCCATCTCACACTGCATCCACTCAAACTCTTCCAGGTTTTAATATTTTCTTTATTTAAGAAAGTGTCCTTACAACCAAAATATTTTTAAAATGTGCATTTCCTTCTCCATACCGTCCTCCTACACAAAAATACCAGTTTAACATAGTTTGTCAAAGTATTTGTGAAAACAATGGAGAGAGTTAGAAAATATCTTTTTTTTCTTATTCAAGGGAACCATTGCCAGCTTTATTAACTTTGACCTTAATATAAATTTTTAATATAAAAAGTTGTGTTGATCATGTATAAAAAGTAACTCACACAGCTATACATTTCACATCTTTGTACTAACAAAAGTACAAGGTATTTTCATTCAGCTAAGCCTAGAAAACCAAACCAAGCTCATAAACGTAATTTTTTTTAACTAGCCACTTCAGAGAACTCATGATCCAGTAACACACTACTATTAAAAAAAACTAGCTATATTTTTTACAATCGTATTTAATTTTGAAACCAACTTCTGTTTAATTGCTAAAAAAAAAATTGAACGTACCCCAAAAAGAAATGCAATATTTCAGGAACATCCATTTTTTTCATGTAAATCGGGAATGCACTTACAAAAGATACTTCTTTACAAGCAAGACTTCAGTCTCCCAGCCCTGAACTTGGTATTTCAAGTTCAGCTACATAGCCAAGTAAATTTGGCCTCTAAGAACAGATCATCTCACAAGTGTCTGACAGTCAAGAAATCACTGCTGTTCGGGAAGAAGCTTATGCTTGAATCTCTTGGTTTGCTACCTGATTATCAATCTTGATGTACCATTAAAAGCGCTATCCTAGAGAGAAATAATCCAAAATGATTAGATCAAAATAACCTGCCAATTAACCATGACATAATTACACCACTTAAATGAGAGCAAAGTTCTCAGAAGGCAACAGAATCAAAATGTAGTATTTTAGCTGACTAAAGGTCCAAGGGCACTTCTGTGGCACAGATCTGAATTTTAGCTTAGCAGTTTTATAAACTCTTGTTAAACATACAGCTGAACCCATGCTACAATGATCACCTTTAAAAAACTTATTCTTAGTAGCAAAGAGGACCGGTGCCGGGCATCCAGTAGCTACCACAGCCAGTGCAGATGACTGGTGCTGGGCATCAGGTAGATACCGAAGCAAAAAACTACCACCTTTCCTTGAGGACAACAATAGAAGGAATTAATGTTAATAAAAAACATAACTCAGTTGCCAAAAAAATTTAATGTAGAGTTTCGTACCATGCCATTCTGGCCATTATGACTTTTTCTCCTCATATTTGAAGTCAAACTGTGCAATTACTAAAACATGAAGTGAACAAGCGAGCAAGTTTTGTGATGTTACTAGTGAAAACAAGCCACACGCAAGATGACAAGGCTAGATCTGCTGACAGCTACTTTAAACCAATTTCTTATACTTTCATGGAAGAAGAGATTACTACGTATATGCTTTTCTTTGCATCTTAATGCAGTATTTTGTTGTTTCATTTTTAAACTCTTCCTACGATCTCAGGAGATTGCACTGACCCTAGAACTCTAAAATTATTTTTCGACTGTTCCATATAACTTAAACTCTGTATTTGACATAAAACGTATACAATTTCCGCTGCTCAGACAAGCTGCCCTCACAATGGGGGTATAAGCAAAAAAAGAAGAAAAAAAAAAACAACCAGTATGCAAATCTGTACTCAGAGCTTTTGAGTTGTGTTCACTACTGGGACATGACACAAATGCAGTAGCAGCTTTACCACAACCCAGCTGCATTCTGCTCCTTAATAAAAGCATTAAGTCCACACACTTCCCACCCAGTTCAATCCCAAACGTGAAGAAACATAAAAGAAACATCCTTCCTGGGAAATGATGGCTACAGTGATCACCAGGAAACACGGCACATGGAAAAATCACTCCCTCATCTCACAGGCAGCTCAGGAGTTGGACAGCATGACAGAATATCCAACATGCGACTTCGGAAGACTCTGTATTTCATCCTTTGCTCTCAGTAGAGCTGAAGCATTAATGTTTCAAGCAAAAGTTGGATACACTACACGATAGCTGCTGAAGCACCAATGAATAAAAAAGGATTCAGAGGTTCAGTTTATCTAGAAAACAGATTTTGCTTTTAAATAGACGTTCATTTTGTCCATAAAGCATTCAAAGTATGTGGTTCACAAGCCCCACACCGCGAACAGGAAAACTTAATGGGCAGATCAAAACTTAGTCTATGCCAGAGAGGATTCTATAAACATTAAAAAGTGAAACCTATTGACCTGCCACCCACAAACTAACTTCTCATCAGTGTAAAATACATCCTGGAAATCTAAAATACTAAGCCCACGGGCTAGTGCCAGTTACAGAAACAATGACATCAAGGTTTTCCATACAACTCCCAACATCTCAACTTCGCAGGATAGACTAGATGTGACCACATATCCGTACCATGATCAATCCTTTGACAAGTTTTTTCCCCACTCCCAAGAGCAGGGTAAAAAAACCAACCAAAACCTACATTCTTCATGCAGAGGAGGATGTGCAACACAGACAATCCTCAAAATATTTTTGCAGCCCGCAGAGCTCAGTTGTTTGTATTAACAAAAAGAACCCTGATGTACTAATTTCACTCTTACTGTCACTACAAATGAAGAATTGTTCTTTATTGGCTCTTGTAAGGGAACTGGAAAGGGAGACAGCATTTTAGCAAACTACTTAAAACAGTCTGGTATAAACATACCTATCTGTACAATAAAGTTAATCTCTTCCCAGTTTCCAGTATGTCAGCACTGATTTCAAGGAGCGTACGTGTAATTTAACAGTTTACCAAGTTATTCTACTACTCAGGAGCAATACAAAGACAGAGGGAAGTCACTGGTGAGACTCAGGAACTGCATGCAGCAAGAAATTCAGACATAACCACTTTCTCAACTGAGTGTGAAATTCCCAACAGGGTGTTCTGCTGCATTTTAAATGCTAGCTAGAGAGTAACACTGAAGATCAAACGTTCTAGATGTCAAGTTCCCCATATTCCTTCCCACAGCAGAAAGAAAACTGTACTGTCTTCTACCATTAAAACCTTACCTTAAGACCTTCTGTCTGTGGAGGGGGAACTCTGTCATGCTACTTTCTCACAAGTTTTCCAAAACTCTTACTTTACAATACGTAATGGGATACCAGTGAGATACTTGACAATTTCACTGCTGATTTTGAAAAGCAACAATAAAATTAAGTCTGGTAAACTTAGACTTGCTGATACCATTAAGAAATACCTCAGAGGAATTACTTGTACAGAATTTCCTATCTGTGCTACCACCAGCTGCACTAGCGGTAGCAACAGCAGAAATATTGTTGTAAATAACCATTTTATTCACAAGTGGCTGCTGAGCACGATCACTGAAAACAGGCAAAAATTAAAAAAAAAAAAAAAGATATC